GGGGAAAAAAATTAAAACAAATATTGTATCAAAACTTTAAATTTCAATCAAACGTTCCTTCAAATCCATCATTTTCTTTCAATTTGTTACAAGTTGAGAAACATCATAGGAAGTATACAGATTACAAAAATAGTGTAATAAACAAGTTTGCCTCTAAAAAATCTGTCCATTAAGCCTCTTTCCGCTTTGAAGAAAACATTTCAGGACGGTAAGAGAAATAACAAACACAAATTAAAGGGATAAAAAAAGAGTTAACAAACAATGGGTTATGGGCTTATATTATGACATACTCAGTTTTTGAGACAGATTACGGCCAAATATACATGAACAACTGAGTCAGATATTGTTGTTGTTGTTGTTGTTATTGTTATTATGTTATGACATACTCTAGGCACCAATTTTTGAGACAGATTCCGGCCAAAATATACATGAACAACCGAGTCAGATATTGTTGTTGTTGTTATTGTTATCGGATCTTTTTTGCTACTGAAGAAATTCTCAACGTCCAAGTACCACATACACACACGCGCGCGACAAAAGAATTGGCAGGTATTGTCACCAACTAATTAACATTAATATGTCTAATAATTATGAACTCACCGGCCAAGAACAGATCAGGTAAAAATTAGTCTCCTTCGCTTCACTCCGATGTACCTCTACTGGCTTGAAACCAACGCTTTAAGACTTCACTGCCTTGTCCCACTAGTTCTCCGGCTATCTCTAAACCCCAAGAATTAAAATACAAAGCATACAAAATTACAGATTAATAAAAAAAAAAGGAACTGAACCGATTTAGGTTATGGACAGGGGAAATACATGTCGAAGAACAAGACCGAATCTGTTCCCCAAGCAAAGAATCTGTTCCCCAAGGCTGATTTTGACGAAGAATGAGAAGAATAGGGACCGAATTTGTTCCCCTGCCTCCCCAAGGTCGAATCTGACGGAGAGAGTGGAGAGTCCAGAGAGAATAGGGCGGAGAGGAAAGAAGAAGCAGAAGAAGCGGCGGTGCCGGACTGCCGGTGGGTGAGGGCGAGGGTGGGTGGGTCTGGACTGAGAGAAGCGGTGGTCCTCCGGTGGACTGAGAGCTCAGGCGGTGGAGACTCACGGAGAAGAGAAAAGGAGAGACGAGAGTTGAGAGAGAAGAAAAGTAGAAATGTGAGGCTTGTTTGAGGCGGCGCGAGAATGGAGAGGCAATAAATAGTGTGAAACATTTTTAACCAAGGTAATAAAAGGATAACAAACGAGTTGTATAATCATGTTACCTAAATATAACACGTTTAATAAATGAGTTATGGCAGATTAATTACGAGTTGACAGGTCAACTTGAAAATGATATGTTATTTAATCGTGTTTCACGGGGTTGACCTGATTTTGAGCCGAACCTATTTATGATAAACTTAAACTTGTTAATTTCGTTCGGATTTTGAGTCGTGTCATCGTGTCGCTCGCTACCAAATTATCAGTCCTAATTTTAACTTTTAAGAGGTTATTTTTCTCTTTTCAATGCGAACTCAAATCTCCTTATTTCTTATCCAATATTTGAAAATTAATATCTAATTAATTATATAATGTTATGTCATATAACAAATTTAACTTACTTTTTAATTAAATTTTTTGTGTTTATCAAGAGAAATTATGTAGTATAATTTAATTAATTAGACGTTAATTAATACACTTTTTTTTTTTTGAGAAAAATGCACACGTGTTTAAAAGCACATAAATGCTTATTGGCTCCGCTAATCTCATATAAAATCCATAGTGAGTTTTTTTTTTGAATAAAAACCTAATGTGTATTTTTAATAATCTAAAACTATCCCCCACATTTTTCAATTATTCAAAAATAACCCTCAATTTTAGAAGTAAACGAGTATAAATTTCGCGCGTTGCTGCAGTATATAATATTATATCACATAAAATTTTTTATAGAATTGTTGCAGTATATAATGTTGTATTACGTAAAAGATTTTATATTATTAGAAACATATTAATAAATATATACACATGTAATATTAGAAGCCAAAATATAATTATATGTACATGTAGATATATACATTATAAAACAGTAACGCCTATCAGATCCATTGTACTGTCTTCTTTAATTGCAAGATAGGAATGTTAAGTAATGAAAAAATAAAAAGTAAATGTATACAAATAATAAAAAAAATTAAGAAGTGAAAAATAAATGTATACAAATAATAAAAAAAATTAACTCAAAATTAAATACGTATTATTTTTTTTAAAAATGAAGTCAAAGAGAAAAGAAAACTCAAATATTTGGAGAAAAAAAAACGAACGAACAGAAAACGAAACAGCATAACCAAGAAAGAAACAATATAATTACATAAGAGAATAGGAACCAGATTAGTAAAGGATGGAAGAGGGAACACAAAAAGTAAGAGACTAATACATATACTAAAACAGTATAAACCGGCCTCATTAATACATAAGAAAACTGAAGATAACGTATCCAACAAAAAAATAATAAGAAATCAGAAATACAAAATGAGGGAAATTTTGTTACAGAAAGTAGACAAAAAAAATTAGGAATGAAAAATTCTTAAAAAAATATTAAAAGGAAAACCCCAAAGAAAAGAAGCCCTCTTAAAATAAAATATTCCAGAAAAAGAAACCTAAATCATGGAAAAAAAATTAGGAAATGAAAAAATTAATGTATATGAATAATAAAAAAAATTAACTCAAGATTAAATACGTAATATTTTTTTAAATGAAGTCAAAGAAGAAAAAAAAAACTCAAATATTCAGAGAGAGAAAAAAAAATCAACGAACAGAGAACGAAATAGTATATCCAAGAAAGAAACAATATAATTACAGAAAAAAATATGAACCAAATCAATAAAAATGAAAGAGGGAACACATTGAGCAAGAACATTCAAAAGAAAGAGGATAAAACTTTAGGCGATGGAAACGAATAAGAGAAGCAACAGAACACGACATCTTCCTAATATAGATCTAACCCTATATGTAAAGGGAAAATATTTTTTTAAAAAAAATTTCCGCTACAAATAGACGTAAATACTAGCGAAGAACATGTGTGGTAAACAAACATGGAAGGACAAGAAAAAAAACTAGCAGCACCCAAAAAAACCTAAAAGAAAAAAAAAAAAACAAACAGAAGATTCAGTGAAAAATAAATAGGCTCGGAAAAAATGTTTGCTTAAGAGCAAAAGAAAGAAGAAGAAAATTTTTATAAAAAAAATTCATATTTGTGCACATAAGATAGAGCAGAAAGAGAAGAAAATAATAGAAAAAGGAACACATAAAGCAAGAGCTTTTAGATGAAAGAGGATAAAACTTTAAGCGATGAAAAAGAATAAGAAAAGCAACAGAATACAATCTTCTTAATACAGATCTAATCCTATCTGTAAAGGGAACAAAATTTAAAAAAAATTTCCGCTACAAATAGACGTAAATGCCAGGGATTTTTTTTCTCAGCTCTCTTTCTCTGGACCACAGCTAGCCTCCACAATGTACAGGGAATTTTTTTTTTCCCTAAGTACTACAATGCACGTGAAAACAAATAAGTGAACCCCACATTCATTAGAAAACCAACATCACAAACAACATATTCACACCACGTGTCTCACTTGTCCCTCAGCACGTAAATTTTTATTTTCTAAAAAAAAATTCAGTAATAAATAGACGAAAATGCCAGCTGAAAACATGTGTAGTAAACAAACATCAAAGGGCAAAACGGTAAATATACATTTAAGATGTTTAAAAAGGAACTTCACTATTAATAACACTATATAATGAACAGTAACACATAGACTCTACTTTAGCATATGTATAATATTTACCTTTGATCAAGATGTTCAAAATGACGTAAATGCCCTTAATATTCAATATTTGATTATCGTGCGGCAACGTGGGGGCATCAAAAAGGAATTAAATATTAGGACTAAGAAATTAAATTGAGAGAAAAAATGTAAAATTTTCCTTCAAAATGATTTTTATTTTTAGAACAATTCAAAACTTTATAAGTCGAACTGAGCAGCTCAACACAAATTCTTACACTCTCACTATCCAAACATGACTTCTCAACTTTGAACTTATTGATTCGGTCTCGTCATATACGATCATGCTCGACGATCATCTAAACATGTTAGACTATTATTTGTTTTAAAATTTATGTTTAAAAGATTACATAATAATATTCAAAGGAATATTTACCTTTCTAAACCCGAATGTTTTTAGTTTATTCAAAAAGTATAACTTTGATTTTTTTTTGTTTAATTAAATTTATACCTTTAAATTAAATTTAATACGTAAATCTATACCAATTCATGGTCAACCTTCAATTTTGACCTTAAAAATACTAAAAATATCCTCAAATCAAAGAATAAAAAAATTTTAAAATAAAGAAACTTCAAACTTACAGTTTTGACCTTAAAATTGTCCACAACTCGTCTGGTTGTCTAGATCCTTAAGCTCTTTTCTACTGTTGGGAGATAGCCCCTGATGTGGAAAACCAACTTCTATGTTGGTTTTTGGTTAATCAGCACTTTTTAAGATGAGAAAAAGAGTAAACTCCATTTCGTTTATAGGTTCGAACATAAATTAAAGAGTAAACACATCATTTTGACCATTGATTGAATGTATATCGTAGGATTTATGTCAATCGTAAAACATTCTAACAATATTTTATTGATTACCTCTAAAAGTGGATAAACAAATTTAGCATTCATTCCTTTTAATAAAGAATCAATACTAAAAAAGGTACAAGAATTAACACCCCCTTTGCTCATTTCCTATATCGTGTGTAGTCCACAACATCTTAATTACTCATTTTGTAAGTAATCACATTATTAAATAGAAAAGAAAATCACTCACCACTTTCCTTTTTCTTTGCCTAAGAAAGTAAACATGCCCTTAATACATCATTGTCTTTTCCAGATTACATTTTGCTTAAACTATTTCAAAGAAAAGAGTGACGGAAGTGCTTTTCACCTATTTAAGCAGAGTGAAAATCTAGGCAATTAGAAATATAAACCAAGACTTACATATTATAAATTTATACAGAGTTCTTACATCTCCGAGTGAAATTTTCTTAGGGGAAGAAGAAAACATGCACAATAAACTTTAAATTCAAATTCAGTAACAGAATATCCACAGATCCCCGTGGAAACAATTGACTGGTACCGGCCATAATTGAAGAAAACCAACGGGAACCACTATGATACGAATTCTGAAAAAAAAAAAAAAAAAAAAAAATCCATACAGATGAGGGGAAAAAACAAAGAACAAAAACAAAACATAGAAGAAGAAGAAACAGAGTTGAATTAACAGGGGTAAGCATCTCATGTACTCGTGATACAAATCCACCATGTGATTTGATTAGTACATGAATATGGATCTTGAATCACTATTTTCCTTTCTTGAGGAGAGTTGATGTCCTAAACTCTGCATCATCCCTCACAAAACTCCACCAGAGGTAAGTGAAAGGGATAGTGGTTGCGTGCCAAAGAGTATGAGCATCCACAAATCCACGGTAGGGTGGGAAGTCGTATATCTCCAGAAGCATGGCAAGGCCTCCCCCGACAACAACTACCCACAACTTCCTGCGTGACGGATGGCGAGTGACTCCAGCCCAAACTGCCCAAACAAGAAGCTGAGCGATACCCATACCGGCGCACACCTTCATGTTCAAACCTGTAAACAACTTGTATAAGCCTATTGCCCAGTAATCAGAATGTACTATCATAATTCATGCCAAACAGAGTAATTTAAGGTTCTAGTGGGAAAAGGAAGTTGCATATCCACATTAGAGTAGAAGTGACAACAGTTTAGCTAGAAATTATAATACCATCTGGCAGGTATGAAAGACACTCTGTACGAAGATTGAATACAGACCAATTCTGTTCTTATTAATTTACCTGGAAATATTGCATTTACGAAACATGATAAAATCTTGCAGTTAAATTCCAATGTCCTTTAGCGTATGGTGTTTGATTTTTATTTGTAAAGATATTAGCTTGCAAAAGCCACACACACCCCATAACAGAAAATTGTTGAACTTACCCTTAAAGTGCATGGGATTTTTACCCCTTACTCTTGATTTGTACCCTTTTGACTAATATAGTTATTTGACTAAAACGGATATTAATCAAGAATAAGGGGTAAAAATCTAGACCCATGCACTCTAAAGGGTATCTGTCTCTTTTCCCCAAAGCGTAATTACATACTCGTCATCATTTTATGCACATTTTAGAATCATCATTTTATGCATATTTTAGAACAAGAATGTTTAAAGATTAGTAAACTATTTCCCAGACATAGCCACATAGGTTAACACAAAAATTTTCATCCTTACTTATGCGTATATTTCTACCTTGAGTTCTTGACACAAATATCAGAGATATCCAAACATCGGTAGTTCAATAGGATGTTAATAGTGGGATGATGATAATGGAAGAACATAAACATGATCCAAATCATGAAGAGCAAAAGGTTTTCTAAGAAAAGTGTACCATAATCAAGTTTATAGAAATTCAGGTACAAAATGTGTGTAGTCACAAAAGCAGCGAGCGGCGCAGCAACCATGACCCTAGCAGCCTCATCTCTCACATTAAAAGCTCGCGTTATTGAGAGAATGAGGGAAAAACCAATTAGTGCGACAGCAGAAGAGTAATCTAGCTTCTCTGTCAACTCCACATCTCTGCAATACGTCACACAGAGAAACTTAAGTCAGGATAAACCACTAAAGTAATATATGCTTGTCTGATAAGCAATATACTTACGCACAAAGTGATAAAATATTTTGAAGGTTAATGATCACACAATTTCAAATGTCATTCAACAGGCATATTACTGAAGACACAAATCATAAAACAAATTACCAAATATGACTTACCGACTATGGAATACAGCACTCCAGAACCAAGAATTCATAGATATGATTGCATAAATATGCCACAATCCGGCATATTCATAGTACGGTTTCTTACTTTGTCTCAAAGGCAATTTGTAGTATAGAAGGATGAAAAATGATATCCATCCATGAAACTGAATTGTAAGATTGAGAGCAGAGAGAGCAACAGCTACAGGTTCCTACCAACATAAATCATTCCATCAGATAACTACACCACATAAGCAATTAAGTTAACATATCTGGTTTACAGCTAAATATACACTGATAGATAAAAGGAAAAACCTGGATGCCATAAACACGCCTGAATGGCCATTTTCCATGATACTTGACAGGTTTATCACCAAGTTTCTCTCTTTCTTCCTCCCTGTCAAGCATGCATTGGTATCGGCAGTCACTGCGACAGTCCCACTGTTTCCATCGCAAATACAGTGGTTCTTGCATATACCACGGTCCATCAATAGGTTTACCATCGGATGAAAATTTACAGTGTTGAAAGCATTTGCTGCCAACGCATCCAGATTTCTCGCACTGCTCCACACAAGATCTGAAACAAATCGCAAGAACAACAATTACAAACAATGATAATGAAAAAGTTTATAAATATGTAAATCATATCATATGTAATCGTAAAATCACATTAAAAGGTAAGAGCGAGCTTTCTTTTCCATTTTTCTTCCTAGCTGGGAGTAGAGTTTCAAGTTTCAAAATTGAAAGGCAACTTCACTTCTTCGCCCGCTAAAAGCTTTGAGGGTCATTTTTGTTCAAATCAAGGATTCACTTTTTCAATGAATACCGACGAATATCATTGTCCTCTTAGTCTCTTTAACTTTCTGGGTTTATCTATCACTTGAAATGCAATAATTTAGGACCTTCTCTGTAGGTACCCCTTTTTTAAAATTCGAGAAAATAAAAGGACTGTGCAAACCATTGAGAAACAAAGGCAAGTAGATATCCATTACATAGTCTGTGAAAATCCTGAGGCTCCATTTTATTCCCAAAAAAAAAAAAAAAAAAAAAAAAACCCAAAGGCCCCAATTTTTAAAAGGGGTTTTTTTGTCCCCTTTATTCCAAAAAAAAAAAAAAAAAAAAAAAAAGCCCAAAGGCTCGAATTTGTAAACGGTGTTTTATGTCTCCTATTAAGACGTAAATCAACAAGTAACCGATTTTACGCCATTAAATAAAAAGCAATTACTTGCCCTCATATTGAAGAAAGCAATTCCAGTCCTAATTTTGACCATATAAATTCTACTTCTTAATTAACTAATTCAAAAAAATAAAAATAACATAACAAACTAATCGAGATTTTGACCCCAACAAATAAATACATGTTCTAAACAAACCTAAGAACCTAACCTAATTTCTCAAGACCAACAATCAAAATCGATCTTTTCTATTTGAATAAAAACTACAAAGGACTTTGTCAGAAAATCGAGGGAAAAATACGAAATTTAACCAAAACGAAAAAAAAAGAATTACTTGTATATCGGATCAGCATCGCCGGCACTTGCGTCCAGAGCGGGAAGAGAAGCACAAAGCGCAGATACGAGTAGAATCAAAGGGAGGTGAGCCATCTGATTCTCGGAAATCAAAGAAAAGTCAAACAGCAAAGCGGTGACCGAAAAGATTCTTCTAAGTTCTAACGAATCAACGGCTGGCGATGGAGGTCGGAGCTGAAAGCCGATGATTTTGGTTCCATCGAAAACGGAGAGAGAGAGAGAGAGAGAGAGATAGAGAGGGACTGGGAGCGAGTCGAGCTCAGGCGAACTCGGTGGAGGACTGAGTGAGTGAGCGAGGGCGAGTCGGGTGTGGGGTGGGGTTAAGTTTGTGGAGTTTGAGGGGGCGGAGACCAGAATCCGTGAGGCTGATCTCACAGCCGATTCACGAGGAGACGCGTGGACGTGCTTTGTTGTCCCCACTATTTTTATCTCTTTATTCAAAAAAATGTATTTATTGTTTTTCTTTTTCTTTTTCTCTCTCTAATAGAATCAAATATTTGTAATTATAAAATTATAAGTTTAAAAAAATTACAAAACCCTGTTTACTTCTATTACAAAATTTAAATTTAAAATCAAAATCATTCAACCAAATCATTAGCCTCCACAAGCATTACCGGATTATTTTTTTTAACTTGGCCAGATTTTTAATGTGTTTTATTTTATTTGAGAATTTTAATATAAGTATCCTATCATACGTAACTTATGTTTAGATTTATGGTGCACACACTATGAGAATTGAGACGGATGTGATTGAATTCTATAGTCGTGATTAAGGATTTCAAAGTTAGGTGCCTCGCTTTAGATCCCATTTTATTTGGTCATCTCACCATTAATATTTATTATGAAACATATATAATTAGTAGTATAATTAGTTTTTTTTTTTTTTTTTTTTTTTTTATGGAACGAGTATAATTAGCTTTTGCCAATAATGGAAAATAATTTTCCATGCTAAATTTGATAAATGTTATGCTTGGTTGGGTTTTAAATTATTTCATATTAAAATTTTTTATTTTTACAAATTTAAAGTCTAAAATAGATAAGGCATCACATGTGCTATTTTTACACTTTTTTAATAATAAATATGAGATTGCCATTAGTTAACATTTATAATGGAGATATGATTTTTTTTTTTTGAAATTATAATGGACATGATATTAGGTTTGATTATGTTGTGAAAAGACTCAAGATTAATACTATTAAAAAAAAGGAAAAGATTTTTTTTTTTTTTTGCTCTTTGGATTTAGATTTTGATTAAAATCTTTGATGGTTCATTTATGGAGTTAATGTGTATAAGAGAGTTAAAAGGCGCAGTCCTGAAATTCATACATAGGGAAATCGGCGTATTTACTCCAAATTTTTTTGTAAATATTAGTTGTAGAAATATTTTAGTTTTTAAATTTATTTTGGTTATTTTTAATTAATCAATGTTTCTAATGTTATTTTAAAAAATATATTTTATTGTTAAATTCTATATGATATAGTGTTAGAGGCACTAACTATTTTGTATTAATTTACGCGGCATGAAGTTATCATTTTTTTAGTGATAAATATAGTCACTTATAATTAAACTTGACTTAATAATTTAAATAATTACTAATAAAAGAATGATAACTCATACTAGACGTAAATTGATATAAAATATTGATATTGGAGTTGATACATCTAGTATTATTCATTCTATATTATAAATATTAACAGGTTAAAGGGTTGTTTTTGTAATTGTTTTTAAAAAAATTAAATTACTCTTTTGATTAGTTGAAACTAGTGTGTTATCCGTGCATTTGTATGGATATGCAATAGTGTAATTAACAGTAATTTAAATTTAAAAATGTATAAAAATACACACACACACACACATATATATATATATGTTTATAAGTTGTTGTAAGTTTATAACACATATATACACATTTATTTACATCTCTATCTTTGTAAGTAAAAATGTACAAACTTATTTACAGATATACAAAGGTTACATATATATAGATATATGTTTATAAGTTGTTGTAAATTTATAACACATATATACACATTTATTTACATCTCTATCTTTGTAAGTAAAAATGTACAAACTTATTTATAGATATATAAAGGTTTATTCATAAAAAACATAAAAGAATATTTACAACCGTCAATGGAACTAAATCTACTAAAATACTTCATGAACATAAAAATTGGTCCAATTAGCGAACTAACAACAGAGGCAGCAATACAACAGTAAAAAAAGAACTCTTCAATAAAATGAGATGAAGATATGTTTATAAATGTTACATAAAAATTATCCTGTGCATCAAAAGAAAAAGTTAGAAAAAGTTAATAAAGGGAAACAAATGATTCATATTTTATATCTTTTATTGGTAATAACATATATGAGGGAATTTTCAATTACAATTTTTTCTTAAAGAGTAACTGTAATATTTACTAATGAATTCAATTGAGTCTATGAATTTAAGAAATTATGAGATTTCTTGATCTCTCTCAATATTTCTCTAAATTCAAAAATTCAAGAGCATGAAGAAAAAGAAGAAACGTTAAATCTTAGGAATCTGATATGAAATAATATATTACATGAATAATACTAAAGAAGAAATACATAGGGAAATTGAATAGACAAATATAAAAAATTTGGTTCAGCTATTTGCCTTTAATTACTGACATCACATATTAGAAATAGCTTAAATAGGATTTAGCAATACCCTTTAGTACCAACTGAATTATTCAAAAGATTTATGAAAAATAAGCAGGGACAAAGAAATGAAGAAAAAAAGAACAAAACAAAAATAGAGTGGAAAAAGCGAGAAATAACTTAGGTATTTATGTTTTGCTGCTAACACAACATATACTAACAAAATTAATAGAGGATTTATATTAAAGACAGGAAAAAAGATGAGACAACATAAATAGTACAGAGAAATATAAAAAACATAAGAGAGCATTTATAACTGTTACTTAAATGAAGGTAAAAAAAGTTAATTAAATATTTAAGAATAAAGTAAATCAATCGCAAAAGACTAACTAAAATTTTTGAGAATAAAACAAAAACAATAGGAAGGAAAAATATTCCAATAGTAAAAACAGGAGTAAATAAAATCTTAAAAACTTCATAAACATAAAAATGAGTTAAATTGATGAATCAATAACAGAGGCAGGAGTAAAAGAGTATAACAAATTTTTTTTAATAAAATCAGATGAAGTAGAAATCATTTTAAAGTAAAAAATGACAGTAAAAGCAACATACTCTTGACAAAATAGGATGACTAAAACAACATAAATCTTAAATAATCCGGGTGACATCAAAGCATGCTAAATCACACTATAAACAGTTATTTAATACATGGTAACAATCAAAGAAAAATACTACATCATTACCAAATGAGAAATCACATTAGATAGAGAACATAATATTGATAGATTAATATAAAAAATGTGATGGAAAGCTAACTTTTAATCAAATAACAATAAGTTATGTAATATAAAAACTAAACAATATTTTACAAATAATATTAACAAACTTATTATAAATATAATTATAATTACATAAAACATTGACCACATATATTAGTAATTCAATAAATACACTTAACAAATCATAATAATGTAATACGTAAAATTTTAAGAACACTTAGAAATAACGTGGAAGAATTAAGAAAGAAATACCTTAGAATAAAGGGAATTCTTTGAAACGACATTTTGCTAAAGAGTGACTGCAACATTTCAAGAGGAGAAAAATGTAAAAATATTGAACAAAATATTAAAAAACTAAAAATCAAAACTTAAGAGTTTATTTTTAACATTAACAATGACAGCAAGAAAGCAATAAATATTGTAACAATGACAAATTAAGGAGAATGTAGCATGAAAAAAAAAAAAAAGGATACAATATCAAAAATCTCATGTAAAATAGTAGAATTCCATGAATAATAGTAAAAAAAAATAGATAAAAAAATTAAATAGACAAATATAAACAATCTGGTTCAAGTATTTGTCTTTAATTGCTAACATCACGCATTAGAAATAACTAAAATAAGATTTAACAATGTCCTTCAGTGCCAACTGAATTATTAAAAAGACTTATAAAGAATAAGAAATAAAGGAGAAATGAAAAAAAAAAACCGACACATAAATATAATAGTGAAAGATAAAAATGGTTTAGATCAAAACCAATTGCTGAAAAATAACTTAAATATTTGAAAACAAAATAAATCAATCCCAGAAGATTAACTGAAATATTTGATAACAAAATAAAGATAATAGAAAAAGAAGAAAGATTTCAATGATAAAAAAGGAAGTAAATAAAATATTTAAAACTTCATAAACATAAAAATTAGTTCAATTGGCGAACCAACAATTGAGGGAGCAGTTAAAGAATAGACCAAAAACCCTTCAGTAAAATCAAATGAAGAACAAATCATTTTAGAGTAGAAAATGATACTAAGAATAATATACTGTTGATAAAACTAAATAAATAAAAGAATATAAATCTTAAATAATCCGGGCAACGTCAAGACTTGCTAAATCACTATAAACAGTTATTTAATACATGGTAACAATAAAAGAAAAATACTACATCATTACCAAATGAGAAATCACATTAGATACAGAATAGAATGTTGACAAATTAATATAATAAATAGAATTAATACAAACATAAGCATAATAACATAAAACAACGAGCACATATATTAACAACTCAATATATACAGTAAAAAAAGCATAGTAATATAATAGAGACAATTTTAAGAACAGTTAGAAATAACATGGAAGGAGTAAGAAAGGAATACCTTAGAACAATAACGAAAGTGGATAGAGTTGATGCACGAGGAGTAAAAAAACTCCAAAATAGAGATAACGGAAAGGGGAAAAGAAATTGAGTATTGAAAATTGAAGGGAAGAAAAGAAACAGAGAAGATAAACGGTAAGTGTTTGACAACAAAAACAGAAACACAACAGAAGACAGTGATCATGAAAAAGAAAACAATATATTTATAGGGAAAAAATAAACTTTCGAGCATGTGGCAGTGGTAAATACTGGAAACAAAACTTAATACTACCGCTATTACACTGCAAACAAAACGTAATAATTTGTTAAAAACATGTGTTACGCTGCATGATAACTACCGTGGAACAAAACGAATAACCTACAGACAGTGAAAAAAAAATGTTGTTAGAAAGAATTACCCTGCACTAAAAACAAATGTCTAAATATTCCCGACTAATATAACCTGCAAACAAATATCAAAACATGTAATAATTAGTAAAAACAGGTGTTAAACAACGTAATAACCAACAAACGAATAAAAAATAACGAAAATAAAAAAAAGGGAAAAAAAGAAAAGTATAATATTTTGAAGATCTAATGAAGAAGTAACCGAAATAAATAAAAGAAAGGAAAAAATAAACGGAAAAAACAAAGTAAAAAAACATAGAAAAACTAACAAATACTACTAACAAATAAAAGATCTAGAAATAAAAACATTAACAGATCTAAAAAAAGGGAAATAAAAAAGCTGAGGGAAAAAACGAAACTAAATCTACAAAAATACTAACAGATCTAGAAAAACAGAAAAAATAATTAAAAAAAATAAAACAAAACGAAGCAAAAAGACGTACAGATATGAGAAAATGAAAAAGAAAAACCGAATAAAAAAACGGAAAAAATGAAGCCAAATCTACAAAAACACTAACAGATCTGGAAAAATAAACGGGAAAAAAAACAAATCAAAAAATAAAAAAAGCAATGAAGCCAGATCTAAAAAAAGAAAAACGGAAAACAAAACTACAAAAAAAAACAAACATAAAAAATGATTCCCAGAAACCTTACGAAAAGAAAGAAGGGGAGAAGGGGAAAAATGCACCAAACATGCAACAAAATGCAAAATGAACCCCACGAAAACCTTAACCTATTTACGGAAAAAAAAACTGAAATTAACCTGACGAAAAGCGCAACGAAACCCAGGAACATAAAAAAAGTGAATAAAAAAAAATGAAGCCAGACCTAGAAAAAGAAAAATGAAAAACAAAACAAACATAAAAAATAATTCTCAGAAACCTTACGAAAAGAAAAAAAGGAAGAAGGGGAAAAAAATGCACAAAACATGCAAAAAAAAAAAAACAAAATGAACCCCACCAAAACCTTAACCCATTTACGAAAGGAAAAAAAATTGAAATTAACCCCACAAAAAACACAATAAAACCCAGAAACATAAAATGAGGAAAAAACTTAGAACGAAAACACAATAAAGCAGAGAAAACTATAAAGAAAACGAAGATGATATGTGGAGAGGAAACAAAGAATAAGAGCTTCGGTGAAAGAGAGATGCATGCGTAAAAATAAAAATGAAAGAAGCAAGAAGCTTATTAAGAATACTAAACAAAGACCACCGCAAGAAATGACGAAAATGGGCAGCAAAAAAGCACAAAAAAGGAAAAAAATTGAGGACAAAATAATAAAAACAAATTCTAGAAGACAGAAACGACATTTTTCAGTAAACATGAATAAGACTGGGTCCCACCACCCACAGCTCACCACTTTGCATTCTCTCTCACTCTCTGCAAGGACTGGGTCCCACCACCCAGACAACTCACCTGCATTCACTCTTTATGTGCATAAATTTACTCGCAATGAGAAAAGAAAGGCAGAAGCCTCACGAAGAGCAAGAGAGAGAAAAAAGGCAAACCGAAGGATAAGACAAAAAATCCAAACAAAAAAAAAAATAAATAAATGAAGGATAAAACGATAAAAATAGTTAAAAGGACACAAACAGTATAAAAAAACTTTAACAGAAAGGAATAGGGGTAAAATTGGAAAGTCACTGTAATTATAACAGTAACTTTCCTGTCTTGTTTAGTAGTATGTATAATTTGAGGAGTATTTATGGTATTTTCATAAAAATCCAGGGGATATTTTTTGCATTCTATTTCCACATAAATTCACAAATTAAAAATAAAAATTCCCGGTCGAGCCGTCCCAGAAATTTGGAGCTACAAAGTACAGACCACTTCTTCATCACTTCCAAATCTTCATCATCGTCAACAATGGTGTCTGCAGCTATCTTGTTCCCCACTCCAACTCCATTTCTCTCTCGCGTCCGTACAACCAAGCCCGTACTCGCGCTTTCCTCCCTCCGTCCCCTCCGCCAATCACACTCCTTCCCGCCACTCCGATGGACCAACAGCCCCGCCATCACCACTAGATACGCATACGTCTCCGGACCAGCTTCCGACCCGATAATTAGCGAACCCGACCCGAAGATAGACTCGGACTCCAATCCGCCGCCACCAAGCGTCATAAGCGGGGCGCTTTTATGGAGGCTTCTACTGAAGCACAAGCTGAGGCTCGCTCTCTCCGCCCTAACTCTCGTCGGCTGCACCACTTGTACTCTCTCAATGCCCATATTTTCCGGTATGAATCGAAATTGTGGTTAATTATCCAGTTTTGAATTCCCCTGTTTGGTTGCTCGGAAAATGAACGACGAAGAAGTGGATGAAGAATTGAGAGTAAATTTCGTGTAGGGCGTTTCTTCGAAGTGTTAATTGGCGCGAGACCAGAGCCTTTGTGGAGTTTGCTGAGCAAGGTTGGGGTTTTGTATGCGTTGGAGCCGATTTTGACTGTGATATTTGTAGTGAACATGAACATCATTTGGGAGAAGGTTATGTCGACGCTCAGAGCACAGATTTTCGGGAGGGTTTTGATTCAGAAGGTGTCTATCTAATCTTTGGAGTATTTGATTTGTGGAATTTGTTATATGATAAACTTTATTGATCCTAACAGTGTCCCGGAATGCTCAATAATCTATGAACAAGAAAAAAGAGTTTACTGTAGCCTTTGATTGAATTATTCATTTCATTTGACATATGTTCTTCTTGCGTGCAGGTCGAATTTTTTGATCGCTACAAGGTAGGCCTACTCTAACAAGTTCTCTTTTTGCCTTGGTGTTTGAGTTATTTTATAATAGGTTTTTTTTTAATTATTTTTATTTTTATTTTTTTCCTGTAATTTTAGTCAAGGAACGAGTGTTTCCCTAGTTCTTTGATTGACTTGGAGTCTTGGATCTGCTTTCTTATAGGTGGGTGAACTCACAGGTCTGTTAACATCTGATTTGGGTTCTCTCAAAGATGTTGTGAGTGAAAATATTTCAAGGGACCGCGGATTCCGGGCACTTTCTGAGGCAAGAAACTCTACACAAAGGACAAGTGAGCTTTACTTTGCCTAAATTTGAGCATCCACGTGCATTTCCTTTAATGGGGTTAACTCAGTTTCACCCCTGTGGCAGCGAAAGTTTTCCAATTATGTTTCTGAAAATCTTTTGTTTTTGTTTGGGAATGTAATATATATAAGGCTAGTTACACTTTTCCAGAATGAAATTCAGCAGCATATCATATTCAGGAGTATTCCATCTCTGCAGCAGTTTTCACTTTAGTTTATGATCACGGTGTGATTGATCTCTGTTTTATTTGTGCCTGTAGGTCATTGGGACAATTTGCATACTATTTGCTTTAGCTCCTCAGCTGGCACCAATTCTAGGCGTGCTGATGCTCGCTGTATCGGTTTCGGTTGGTAAGGTGTCTTCACTTTGAAACTCTTAGGGCCCGTTTGTTTCATATACTCAAACTCAAATAATTGATTCTGCTACAGTGTTTTTTGTGAGATTATGTTACAATGTTTTCCTCTCACAAAAAAAGTGAAATTCAAATGTCAAAAATCAAGAATCATGGTTTGAGTATACCTTCCAAATAGGCCCTTAGTCACTATGGCTAGTCTGGTAACTTCTCCGAAATTAGATGATCGTAACTTTGTCATAGTTTTGCTGTAGTCTAATCAGCTCTGGAAGTGAGTGTGAAGACTGATTTTAACTCGATTATGTATGTGGTCAGGCATGGATATTTTATCTATATCAGGTTCTAGGCTAAATTAGTGATGTTTTACTGATATTTGCCTACATTTATATCTCAAATTGGCAACATTATATGCACACGACCTTCACGTCTTCCAGTACCACTTGCACTTATTATTAATAACTGTACAGCCTTTTTCACTGATATTTTACTTCGTTTCTTGTTTCACGGTTTCCATTCTTGTTGCTGACTTTTAGTTAACTTTCTCAAGCTGTATACAAGCGATCAACTGTGCCTGTTTTCAAAGCCCATGGGTTGGCACAAGCATCCATATCTGATTGTGTGACCGAAACTTTTTCTGCCATTCGTACTGTAAGTGTATAAGATTGTCTATTACATAGTTGAGCCTTTTAGGTTGGTCCTCTTCTTTCACGTGAAGTGTGGTTCAATCTTCTTGCATATAACACTTGATTATTGACAAGGTAACATACTTTTTGTAGGTAAGATCCTTTGGTGGTGAAAAGCGCCAAATGCTAACGTTTGGTAGGCAGGTATGATAAACAGTCTAGTTAATAAAACAGACGCAATAGCTCTTTAGTGCCTTTGTCCCTTATATCATGAAGCTTTGCAGGTTCTCGCTTATCAGAGCAGTGGAATAAAGCTTGGGACTTTCAGATCTATCAATGAATCTTTGACCAGAGTTGCTGTTTATATATCTCTATTATCACTTTATTGCCTTGGTGGAAGCAAAGTGAAGGCGGTAGGCTGTTGTAGCTATTGTTTGTTTGTTTGTATTTTGTTTTTGCTTTTTTGTTTTTTTTGTTTTTTTTTTCAGTTACAATAAAAGAGCAACAAACAATGAACCTGCTCTTTTGTATTTCTCACGTCTTGTTACTGCAGGGTGAACTCTCGGTCGGAACTGTGGCTTCTTTTATTGGATATACTTTCACACTAACATTTGCCGTGAGTCATTTATCTGCTCAATGAAAGAGCTTTGTGAAATTCCATTCTCTCTGCTTCCTGACATAATTCATCTTCCAGGTTCAAGGCCTGGTTAACACATTTGGAGATCTTCGCGGAACTTTTGCAGCTGTTGAGAGGATTAATTCCGTTTTATCTCGTGTAGAAATTGATGAAGCGCTAGCTTATGGTTTAGAAAGAGAATTGAGCAAAACAAAATTGGTTGATGAAAGTCAGGGATTGTTCCTTGTTGATAGCTCTAGTGAGAAAAATGGGTCTGTAAATACGCATTACATGTCAGATCTCAAATCAGCCACTAATGTCGGTCACCTAGCTTGGTCGGGTGATATTTGTCTTGAAGGTATTTGTGATAGCTGCATCATTTTCTCTGAAGTTCCTTTAAACATCACTCTTCTTGCACACATTCCATGTTACGAATTTCTGTCACAACATCTGAACTTATAGATCTGGGTCCTTGCAATAAATGACCAATCTCGTGTCGCAGATGTGCATTTTTCTTATCCTTTGAGGCCTGATGTGGAAATCCTAAATGGCCTAAACTTAACACTGAAGTGTGGATCTGTAACTGCTTTAGTGGGGCCAAGTGGTGCAGGCAAAAGTACAATAGTACAGCTATTGGCACGTTTCTATGAGGTTTTGCTTTCAACTTTCTGCTTTTAAATGTTAGTTTTGAGTTATTGTCGTGGTTTAAACAGTCACACCATAAGTTGATGTTTATACTTTGCAGCCAACTAAAGGTCGTATTACAGTCGCAGGAGAGGATGTTCGAACATTTGACAAAAGTGAATGGGCACGCTTTGTCTCTATAGTAAACCAAGTATCTACCTGAATCGGCTGCCTCTAACATGCACACTAATTTGTTCTTATGCCAAGCTAACCCAATCTTAATTTTTTTAAACACAAAACGACCCATTACATTCCAATTGCACATGTTCCAAGCAGTGCCGAGTAACTCGCTCTAAACATTTTGCTGTTGCCTTTGCCCATTAATACACAATGCAGGATCCTGTTCTTTTCTCTGTCTCTGTCGGAGAAAATATTGCATACGGCCTTCCAGATGATAATGTTTCCAAGGATGATGTGATCAAGGCTGCAAAAGCTGCAAACGCCCATGAATTCATAATCTCACTCCCCCAGGTTTGAAAGCTTTGATATACACACATTTTTATGTGCTTTTTCCTATTTACTAAATATTTGCTCCGTTTTTGTAGGGTTATGACACACTAGTTGGTGAGCGTGGAGGCCTACTTAGCGGGGGCCAGAGGCAGGTAAACAATAGAGTTTGGAGAGAGCATGAAAGATAAATTCAATTTCTAGACTCTTTTTTTTTTAATTTTTTAATTTTTTAAATCCGCAGAGAATTGCTATTGCGAGAGCCCTGCTTAAGAATGCACCAATCCTGATACTTGATGAGGCAAGTGTTTTACTCTCTTTTATCGCCATCTATTTATTTGCTCCAGACTTGAATCATGGTCAGATTCAGTAATTATCACGAGGTCCATTTCCTGGTTACCCCCAGTCCTTATTCAAAAAAATAAAGAATAAAAATCTCTCCCCTAGTCTTTACTGAGCTCATTTCAGTTTCTGCGGTGTTAATATGTTCTTTGGTGCAGGCGACCAGTGCATTGGATGCAGTTAGCGAGCGCCTGGTTCAGGATGCTCTGACCCACTTGATGAAGGGCAGGACAACATTGGTCATTGCACATCGATTGAGCACAGTTCAGAACGCCCATCAGATTGCAGTTTGCTCCGACGGGAGGATTGCGGAACTTGGGACACACTTTGAGTTATTGGCTCAGAAAGGTCAATATGCTGCATTAGTTGGCACTCAAAGACTTGCATTTGAGTAGCATTGCAAATGTGCTATTATCTCCGGATCACTCAAAACAAATACCAAAGCAAGTATACACGTGAGTTGTATTACTGAACATCGTTTTCCTTTGATTTTTTTTTTTTTTTTTAATGTTCTTTTGAGATCTGACAATGACGTAACTTTCATACCCTTTCTTTCTTTCTTTTTTTTTTCTTTTCTTTTTCCCTCCTTTAAGCAGGTATAGTTTTGCCACTTATAAAGCAAATAGTAGCTGTGAGTTGCTGGAGAATAATCGAGCTCGTACGCTACACAACACTAAAGCATCCGCCAAAATTATTTCAAATAATAGCTGTAAGTCACTTGTAGCTGTATAACAACTATTGAATAATGCTTTAAGCAAAGATTCTTGTTTTAATGTATTATATACATTTCAACAAAGTAAAAGAGGAAAAGAAGAGAAAAAGGTATTTGGGATATGTATAACTGGTTTATTCAAGATTCAAGAAGAATTAGAGGAGATAATGGCATTGAGGTTGGCAAGGCATTCAGTAGGCAGTCCAAGGAAGGAATTCATGAGGAAATCATCAATAGGATCAACTGTTGCCACCCCTACCAATCTGCATTTTCCTTCTTTGTCCAACCTGTCCCCTCTTCCACTTCTTATTTTCCCCACTGACTCCTCAGATGTCAACACCGTCGCGACCACCAGCGGCGGAGCTTTATAAATGCTCCCAACTGAAAACCAAAACTTGGCCTTGAATTCAAAATTAACCTACAGAAAAGAACATAGCTAGTAATTAACAAATGTATGATGAGAACAACATATTCAATAACTTTGTCAGGTGCATTTCAGGGGCATTATTGATATAGAAGTTGGTACCTTTGATCAAATTATGATGATCGTGCACTTACTTTCATAAAAACTGTACATTAATCAAGCATGATTTCTTTTGAAATATTTCTTCGTGCAACATGAGAAAAAATTTACAAATCCCTTGGAACTTTTCTTTATTCCAAGTATAAATAGTTAGAAATTTTTCTTAGATTAAAAACCATGTAACATTGGTTGAAAATGGCCACATTTTAGTATAGTTTTTGCAAACATGAGTTGAAAATGGCCACATTACAGTATAGACCATACCTTGCCAGTGTTTTGATTGATGCTTCCTCGGAAGATTTCAGGGTCAATTCTGATCTTCAAAAACGGTGGCAGCGGCAAACCCAAGAACTTCGTAGTCGAACTTGTCAATGGTGGAATGTAGAGTGTCTTAATGTCAAAGGAAACCAAAATCTCATCATCATTGGAGTTGCTTTCTAACACCTTTGAACCAGACCCAGTTCCTTCCCCACCTTCAGCATTGTATTCAAAATCAGGATACCTGGAAATTCCAAGCTTGCAAGCCCCCAAAGTCCTGAAATTTACAGTGTAAAGCTCAGATTTTAGCTGTTGCGTTTGAGTACTAATATTAGCTGTGGATGTGGAAGCCTGTTTTTGCTGATTTTGGCTGTAGGAAGCGGAAGAGAAGGATGTGGTTTTTGGGCAAATCCTTCGTCTTTTTGTTGGGAGTTTGTTGCAAAGAATTAGAGGGTTTGTGGGGTTTACTTTAGACCCCATAATCTTGTGTCTATATGTTTTAGTTGTTTGAAGAGATGAGAATAAGAGAATTTGGTTCTCTGAAGTAGAATTCAGATGAAGAAATCGTCCAGGAATAGCTAGAAGCAGGAGTACTCCATTTTGAGGATGAAATTGAGCGTCACAAAATATGAGGCTAGATTTGTGTTTTCAAGTTTTTACATTATCCCTTAGACTATTCCATGTGGTGACACTTCAGCGCACGTTGAAAACTGTCGTTTCAATACACCGCCAACGGGGTAGTGCAATAGTAAGGATTACTTTCCTTATTTTCCTTCCAAAATGCACTCTGGTTCAATACTTGGTGGCCCCAATAACAGATTCGAGACGTTTGGTTCATGAATTAGAATAACGAGATTAAAATTATTTTTGATTTACGTATATTTTTATGAGAAAAAATACTGTAGCAAATCATAAATCACGATTCAAATCAGGGTACGAATCCCCTTACCAAACGTCCCCTAATTTGGTAGCTTTTCGCTCCTAAAATCAATTTTTGCTTGTAATAAAAGTTGATTTTAGTGTTTGATAAATCTCCTCAAAAGTACTTTTTGAAGAATCTACAGTCAAAATCAGAAACAGTCTAAAGATAATTTTAACTTTTAAATTGTGCAGGAATCAACATAGTACACTTAATGAAACTTTCATAATACTCATAATACTCTTAATGAAATTTAAAATTTACAATTTTTTCAATCTAAATTCAGACTCGTAATATAATATAATATAATAATACAATAATATAATATAATATAATGTAATAGTACTCTAATATTAATATTTTATCATATAATATGATATTATAATAATATTATAATTATATTAATAATATGATATTATAATATAATTATAATGTAATATTATAATGATTATTTTATAATAATATTATATATTATATTGTATTGATATAATTATATTTATTATATTAATAATATAATAATAATTAATATAATTAAATATTAACATAATCTTATAATTTTAATATTATTATCTATTAGTGTATTACGCACATTATGTTTTATAATTTTGTAATTATTATAATAATTATTTTTTGTATTATATTAAATATAATAATAAATATATATTATATTGTAATTATATATGTTATATTATAGTATAATATAATATAGTCGTAATTTTTAACTATCCACAACAATTCAACCTTATAATTTACCAAGCGCTATTACACTGATTTTGAAACCAACACAGCTATTATAATTATAGTTTATCAAACACTCGGCTGTTTTTTATAACAGCTGTTTTTTTTTCAACACAACTAAAAGTAATTTTTTCAAAATCTACAGTAATAATAAACTAAGGGCCCATTTAGTTTGCTGATTCGAGTTTTTAATTCGAGTTAAGATGTGATTTTATGTGAGAATTTTTTACTGTAGTAAAAAAGTTAAATGTGGTTGTTTGTGGGAGCTTTTTACTGTAGCAAAACTCAAATTTTAAACTCGAATCAGCGAAATGAACAAAATCTAAGTTTTTATCTAGCGACGTCAAATCTATGACGGTGTCACATCTTTTGAGTAGAATTTAGTTACGCTCTTTCTGTTTTATTGATTGCCCTCCAGACTGTTACTTCAGTATGTACTCGGAGTTGACAAATTGACGAAGCCGTTTTTATTTGGGGTATCTAGGCTGAATTGACCAAGCACCCCTTCAAGGTATTTACTAAGCCGTAGGTTGAAAATAGGAGGCAAGTTGAATTTTGGCTGCCAAAATGTCTTGTATCGTGTTCAAGGAAAGTTCGTGCCTTTTAATGGTGCGGACTTTTAAATTAATTAAAATCATATGAGATTAAAAACAATACGTAGAATATATAATTTTTGATTAAAAAAAAATAATGATGAAAAAAAAAATCAATAATTTATTTTTTTGATTTTATTAGAAAAGCTCCTGTAATAGTATATATCCTTCAAAGTTGAAACTAGAGAAAATTATTCCCATCATACCTAAAGCAGGAATTGGGTTCTGACCTTCCCCACCTGGACCTCCCATATTCCATTCCCAATAATGATAAATCATATTATTGATTGAGAGTGAAACTCATATGTTTATTTATTTATTTTTTTTGTTGCTGGGATCATATGATTTTTGTTCTTGAAAAGTGAAGTAAACAATGTATTGAGAACTTCTTTGGCCATTCATTGACACATGGACAGAATTCGTTGTCCTTTTTTTTTTTTTTTTTTTTTTTTTTTTTTTTTTTTTTTACGAAGAGCATTGCTATTTATCACAAGGTATATGCCTCACCATATGAAACAAAAGTCACGTACCAAAAATTATAACAATTAGACCCTAATATGTTGTCACCTATTACGTTACCAGTAATGATAGACTCTTGAATAAAAATTTTGTACTTAAAAAAATTTTATGCCTCGACTACAATTTAGTAACGTAACAAAAGTACATTAATTAGGCCCTATTTATTCATACATAATTTAACTTCTTTGGAACCCTCACGCGGTTACACACATGAATTAGTAAATTAGAAAAACGCAAGAGGAGAAACAAAATTTATAGAAGTTCGGCTAGAGTAATGTCTATGCACTCTTTTTTGTTCTATAGATAATATTTTCTTCAAGAAAACTTTTGGGGAATTTTTATGGTCCAACTCTTAATTGTGACTCATCAGTGGAGCAAATGTTTTTAACTGTTATATTAGTTTTTTAACAATTAGATTTCTGTAGATCCGTATTAAAATTTTACAGTATACTATACATAACTGCTCCTATTATAAATCTGACCTTAAAAAATTAATTTAATAATAAAAACATTTGTTCACTTCGCTGATTCGAGTTTAGAATTCGAATTTTACTACAGTAAAAAACTCTCACAAACAATCACATCTAACTTTTTTACTATAATAAAAAACTCTCACATAAAATCACATCTCAACTCGAATTAAAAACTCAAATCAGCAAATTAAACGGACCCATAAATCACAATTAGGAGTTGCACAGTAAAAGAAGCCAAAACTTTTGTACTTCCAAAAGTCAACGCCTCACTGCAATTACTACTACTACTACGACTTTGTCCTGCTCTTTGAAGCCATCATCTCTCTTTGGGGGGCAACCAATAGAATAGATGAAAGAAAGATGTCTCCTAAAGTGCTGATAGCATCACACACATACGTGCGTTGCTGTTTCTTTGCCTAGACGATTGACTTTAATCAATTATCATTCCCGCAAACAAGTAACAATGTGGACACGTTTTATATTGGGAAAAAGAGTACTCATAAGTTTAAATTAGGATGATTTTAGTTTTAAAATTAGAATTATGATTTATTATTTGAACTTGGGATCCAAATTATAGTTTTGAAACCGAAATCAGAATCAGAGATTTAAGCTATTCAAAATCAAGGAAAGAAGTGGTTTTATTTTTTAAGATGATTCTGATTTAACCAGAACCATCTAAACTAAACACTGATTTTTAAAAATTATTTTTTATTTTTTATAAACAAATAAAAATTTAAACCAAAATTATAATTCTGATTTTAAAACCCTCATATAAACGCAATCTTATCTTTGTTAGCTGCCAAAAAATTTAGCAGCATGTGTAATTATGTATGTTCCGATTTTTCTTTTTGTATCATTTAGCCAATCCGTGGAAATTGGTCTTGGTCCCTTTTTTTGTTCACCAGAGAAAAAAAGGGTCCCTTTTTCTATTTGACTTCGTTGGTACAACTTATAATTTTCTTTATCATCCAATCATATTCGTTCGGAAAAAAAAAGAAAAAAAAGTTATGGATGTTTGCAACGTTCTAAGAATTTGTTCTAAGCCGACAATTACTTTTACACAATTGTTTCAAAAAACACTATATATCATTATTGAAACTGCCGCGTAACCCCAATTCTTTGGAGATTTTTGTGGCGTAAAATCTCTCATAGTGACACGTAATGAATAGTAGTGCTATATTGCCTGTTTTGGGCAGCAACATAATCAGAATTCACAAAGATTTTTCGCGGCGAATAATAATAGCCATGAGAAGTGGGAAACCTGTTGCAGTGATGTCAAACTTGACGTGAACTTGTCGTCATAATTCTAGGTTAAGCAAATTCGTCCGAGGATGAATTTTGGTCCACTCTTTTAACGTTTCTTGTTGGTCTAGACGAAATTATCTGTTGACAATTGTTGTTGTTTTTTTTTGTTTTTGGTGTACCACTTGAAGTCTTTGCCTAGATAGTAGAAAGGATGAATTTTGGTCCACTCTTTTAACGTTTCTTGTTGGTCTAGACGAAATTATCTGTTGACAATTGTTGTTGTTTTTTTTTTGTTTTTGGTGTACCACTTGAAGTCTTTGCCTAGATAGTAGAAAGTTGCAGAGGAAATAATCAAACACAACCATCTCATTAATAAAAATTGAATTGTTCAGTTTTTATCTACAAAATTCAAAGTGTGAAGAGCCTTATTTTAACTATTAAATTCTGTTCATTTTACCGATTCAAATTTAAAATTCGAGTTTTACTACAGTAAAAAACTCGAAAAAACAGTCACATCTAACTTTTTTACTATAGTAAAAAATTCTCATAAAAAACCACTTTTAACTCGAATTAAAAACTCAAATCAGCGAACTAAACGGATCCTTAGAGTCGGGAATTTAAACTCTACAGCTTAAGTCGTTGGAGACAAATATAAGCCCATTAGTTATAGGCTATAGCAAAACGTGGAAAACTTTGTATTGCCAAGATCACACCCTACATTTTACAAGGCTAAAACACCCCCACTACCCTTGTCACCTACTGCTAGTGCAACGCAAACTCCACCAAATTAGAAAGCCAACACCCTTCATAACTAGGACCTAGTTAAAAACTAACATGAAAGTGGGCACTCACAACCAGAAACCCCGAAACAAGGACATCACTTGAAGGAAAACTCCACATGGGCAATGCCAATTCCTCCACGCCCCCACCACACAATCAGAACCCCACAAAAATTTATGGTCACAGTTTCAGCAGACAAGTGAAGATCTAAGAGAAGTAGGAAAATGAGTACACGAGGACCAACGAATGACGGATTCTGACACAATGAAATCAATTTGCTCGTGCTCGCCGAGCCCAATCGTACAGTTTCTCTTGCTGTGAATTCCTGCAACCCTAGGCCTACTTGTTCCCCCGGCTCTTTTAACTTCGGTTGGCTTGTTCTCCATATGTCTACTAGATAAGTGGGTAAAGCAAACGGATGAATCTGGCAAAAATGGCAACTTGTCCAAGCTTGCCTCTGCACAGTAAAGCAAAATTAGAACTACTGACATAACCATGATACGATAAAGCAAAGATCTGTACAACGACGTTCCTGTAATACCTTTACGAACTGATTGGACTCTGGATATGTCAACTGGGACCTCTGCTTTACAATTTGCATAATCAACAATGGAATCGGGGCCGAAGAATGCAAAGCTTGGCATTGAAAGAACAGGTGAAGAGGAGATTTCTGAACCAATGCCAATAGAATCGCCACTGCTGTGAAAGGAAAACCCACCAGATGCCAAGCAAGGAGTTGATGGCTCCGCTAGGAAAGAAGAAAAAGATGATCTGCAAGTGAATGAAGATGATGGGGTGTGGCAAGCAATCGGCGATCCATGGCCAAAACTGATGTCCCGATCTCTGGACATAAATGCAGTAGAAAATGAGCTGCCACCCTCATCCCATGCTTGGCATGTTTCTTCTGCGCATTGGCTTTGTTGTTCAGGATGTAATTCATTTGTTGACATCCATGAATGATCTACCAAAAGGCAAGTCATGCTCAAAGTAAGTATTAACGAGCAGAAGTACCACTCAAACTGATTCGTTCATGGGTTAGAAAAGGAAAAGGTAAAATCTCTCAGCCCTAGTGCAAGATGTAGAGACCAGCAATGAAAAAAGTTTATCCGAAATAAGAAGTCACCTTACTCAAAATAGTTAATCTCACAGACAAATACAAAGACAAAAAGCCTTTGTAATACTACTGCTCCGAATGTTCTTTCTTAAATGACAAGAAAGTAAGATGCACGTTTCCATTAAAAGATTGTGTTCGCTTAACCTACCTAAAACCTGCTGAGCAGTAAGCCTTTGAGAAGAATCTGTACAGAGCATTCTTCTAATCAAATCCCTAGCTGATTCGGAAATATGGTCCCAGGGATTAGACGGGAACCTCAGATCAGCCATCCTAACAGCATCGAATATCCGGGATTTCGTCTTTCCCCAAAATGGCGGCATTCCGCTGAGAAGAATGTAAAGAATAACACCAGCGCTCCAAACATCAGCAGCCTGGTTATAGCCTCCTGCAAGTACCTCAGGAGCTATATAGAATGGACTTCCAACTAACCCATGTAAACTTTCTCCTGTTTGTACAAAACTACCAAGTAAATCCACACGAAACAGACAGAATAAACATCAAGTAAAATGTAAATCCAGACGAGACACGAAAGTACCAGGCTTGATATAAGTTGCGAGACCAAAATCTGCCAACTTAATCGGAGACGATGAGGCCTTCGTTGCGAGCAGGATGTTCTCGGGCTTCAAATCTCGATGAACAACCCCGTTTTCGTGACAATACAAAACCACCTGCATCAGATGCCTAAACAGAACCCTGGCATCAGACTCAACAAATCTCCCAATCTTTTCCAACTTGTGGAAAAGCTCACCTCCGGCACAAAGCTCCATTACCAAATGCACATAGTCATCCTCCTCGTAAACTGCCTTAAGATCCACAACGTTCGGGTGCCCGGATAACCTGGTCATGATCTCAATCTCAAGCCTGATGCTCCTCACATCATCTGAAGTCACCAACTTATCTTTCGCAATTGATTTGCAGGCTAAAACCTCGCCCGTCGCCTTATCCGTGCACGTCCTTATAACACCAAACTGCCCCCAACCCAATTGCTCTCCAAGAACGTATTGGTCTTTAAGGTTTGAGGTCTGGTTTGCTTCCAAAATATTCGTAGTCAAACTTGGGATTTTGTAACAGTTACAAGGCCTTGTATATGGTTCACTTATGCTGTTGCTAAGAGCAACAGCCATAACCAATTTCTCTCCAAAACAACCCCAGAAGACACCAATCAGAATTTCAAAGCCTATGGTTTTCAGAAGGCCCTTTTCAAGTTTTCCTTTTTCAAGTCAATATTTTGAAGTCTTTTTCGGACATACGCATTCACACAGATCGCATGTTGGCGAAAAAATAAAAACGAAATTGGCTTTTCCCAGTTAGTTGTTGAAGTTGACAAAGAGGGATTAACGTGAAGAATAAGATACCATGTATCTGGACATCTGGATAAAGTTTATATTAAAGATAAGAAACCTTACAAGGAACATGAAAGTCCTCAATCCAAGGCTGGGATCACATGGATCTGCAACAAAAACAGAAAGAAAAGTTCTTACAGGTTGAACTAAAAGACAAATAATAACAAAAAAAAAACCCTCTTATAATTAATGTTTTTTCCCTTAAGAAAAGAAAAGGAAAACCCGATTTTTTTTTTTAATAATTCTTAGTATAATTCCCTTTCCCGTTTTTGTTTTTTGGATGTTGACATTTTTTCCGTTTATGCAGAATTCGAACTCAATTCCAGCAAGAGAACTCCCAAACAGAAAAGTGTAACTAGTTACTATTTATAACAGTGAATTACTCAAAAAATCCCAAGAAAAATCTAATCTTTTAAGTAAAAATTTACTGAAATCACATCAGGAAACTCTAAATTTACTGAAAGTAGCTGAATTTCCCACAAACCCACCAAAGTTCAGTGAGAAACAAAGCAACCCAGATCCAAATATTCCCACCATCCACAACTGGAACCATACACGAACACACATTAACTAAAAAAAAAAAAAAATTTCACACACCCACCAACAACGCAGTTACAGAGAGAGGGACCTTAAGGAAAGAAAAGTTAGAGAGAGAGAGAGAGAGAGGGACCTTAAGGAAAGAAAAGTTAGATAGAGAGAGAAGGGGGGAAGGAGTCCGTTGGAGCAGTAGTAGAGCTCCCCAAGACAGAGCTCCTGTTCCGTGGGCTCTGCTTGGCTTCGGCGCACTCTCCTCTGTATCTGCCAAAAATATAAAAAAACTGGCCTTTATTCATCTCTCTGTTTCTTTTTTTGAAATTGTTATAAGGGCTTCCTCGGACGTCAAGACCGCCTCTAATTTAGTTTAATACTTTCATTATCACTTGTGCTTCTCATTAATCTTTTTTTTTTTTTTTCATTTTTTTTAATATTTTGCTTAGGTGATAAAAAACAACAATTTGTTCAATGAGAAATCAAAACCAAATAATCTCGTTTATTTTCTTTATTTTTTTTTCTAAGAAACCTTTTAGAGTATAAAAAAATATCAGCATTTTATAAAATTAAAAGTGTCTTGCAAAATAATCCGATTTTAATCCTATTTTCTTATTTTGCTTTTTTGTTAATTTAATAAGTTTTGTTTTTATAGTATATCATTATAATTAGCCAAACTTTTTTTTAGAAACCTTTATAATAGAGAAGGCCTTTTTTTTTCCCTCCTCCTACTACTAGTAGTTAAGGTTTTTTCAGCTATAAGTTTATTTTTCAAATATTTAATCCATGAATATGAGCACTTTTACATCGTACGATTTATGATTCCTTCCTGATGCATGGTTTGATTCTGACTTTGAATGTAAATTTGAAATTGGTTTGAAAGAATTGACACACTCCTATTTAGATTATACTTTGATTTTTCTTTTTTGATTATACTTTGATTTAGCTCGAGCAGACGTTGGGAGCGTCTTATAAGAGAACAAACGTCATAATTAAAAAAACGACAACACGCGAAAGCGACATAAACTCCATGAACGACAATATCATCTTAAACGACACAAAATTTTAACAATCACAATGTAGGAAGAAAAACGACAATGGTCATCACCTTCCGACCGCAATAGCATCTGATGCAATCTATGGGCTTTTATAAGCCCACGCAAGCGTGCGTGATAGTTACGGCAAAGACGTACCGGCGCAGGACAATTACGTAATTTAACATCCCTCCAGACCGACGAGACGCCGGTATACCGATCTATCTAATATCACCTTCCTTTCTTCTCTTTTTCCTTCTCTAATCTCCGCTTCTCACATATTACGCAAAAATCAAATTCATTTCCTCCCCACTAAATTAAAATCTAGGGTTTCCGATTCAATTTCTCCCCCCAAAACCCCTTCCCAGAAGCATCCAGATAAACACACGCGGAGAAATTTAGGGTTTTTCTTTCTATTTTTCTTTCTTTCTGTGTTGATTATCTTGAACTGTTTGATCAGATTCCATCTTCCGATTCGAATCAATTGATCGATAAATCAGGCAACTTTGGATCGCAGTTGAGAAGGTGATGGATGTGGATGGAGGGGGAAGCAAGCGCGTCTTCCACCGGCTAAGCGGAGGCGCCGGCGGCGGAGGGCCGTCGCCATCCACGGACCCGAGGAACCAGAAGGTCTGTTTCCATTGGAGGGCTGGGAAGTGCAACCGCTTCCCTTGCCCTTACCTCCACAGGGAATTGCAGCCCCCTCCGCCGCAGAATGGAACGGCGTCGTCTAAGCGCCAGTACCACGGGTTCTCCGGCGATGATCCGGAGCCGCGGAGGCCAAACAATTCGACGTGGGGGAGAGTTCACGGCGGCGCCGGAGGGAATAATAAGTTTATAAGGAAGACGGAGAAGTTGTGCCATTTTTGGTCTCAGGGGAACTGTGGGTATGGCGACAAGTGCAAGTACTTGCATTGCTGGACATTCGGGGACGGCTTGTCGTTGTTGACGCAGCTCGAGGGGCATCAGAAGGTGAATTGAGAATCTTTTGATGGCGGTTTTTGTGATGTGGAAATTTGAAAGAAGAGTTGTTCAATGACTTGGGTTTGTGAACAGGTTGTTAGTGGGATTGCGTTTCCATTTGGATCAGACAAACTCTACACCGGGAGTAAAGATGAGACTGTCAGGGTCTGGGACTGCCAGTCTGGTCAGGTACTTCTTCTTCTTGTACGATATTCTTTTACTTTTTGATCGGTTTCTTTATGTATTTTGGAGAAAGTTTACACTTTTTGATTTTTTATTAGTTACACCAATTACAAGGACTTTCCTGTCAGTCCAGAATAGAAAAAGGGTAAACTCAGAGTAGTACATTTGTTGAGGAAGCAGCAAAATGTATGGAAGAAAATAAATTTGTTAAAGAAAGTTTCTTTTACGTTAGATAATTTCTTGTCAGCGCTGCTGGTTACAGCTGTTATGATTCCCATTCATGGCTGGTTTCGATTCTCAAACAATTCTTATATGGTCTATTGTAGCCTTCTCATTATAGGTAAACTACCAAAAAAACAGTTGTAGAATTTTTGCTTGGTTGACATGAGTTTGTTTCCTCCTTATGTCTCTTATGACTTTCAATCAAACAAACTCGCACGTGCAGATTTACTTGGGATATATATTTTTTTGGTCAGTGGATTGGAGAGTAGACATTACTTTGGTTTCATGGTTTGTGTTGTGTAGGGTTTAATTTTGTTGTCTATTTATTTATTATCATTTGCAGTGTACGGCCGTGATTAACCTTGGTGGTGAAGTGGGTTGCATGATCAATGAAGGTCCATGGATTTTTGTAGGCCTACTTAATATGGTGAAGGTAAGGCAGAAGACAAAATTTTAAGCTTTTAGTTTTCTCTCATAATCATGTACATGTTTTGGTTATGTTATGATTATCTAATGCTATATTGATGTGAGCTAGAGGCGAGTGTAGAATGAATTCATGACATAATTCGATGGTGTCAGGCATGGAACATCCAAACTAACATGGAACTGAGTCTTAGTGGACCTGTTGGACAAGTTTATTCCATGGTAGTGGGAAAGGATTTGCTTTTTGCTGGTACGCAGGTAATTTCTTGACAATGACCTATTTGCGTTTGTTATGTATTTTAGGATGTTGACTAATTTATTCATGTTACTGTTTTTTGGGTTGAGGAGTGGCTTGTTTGGCTAATTTAACTTTTTAGAACCTTGTTGCTGCCCATTTGATGAACCAATCGGTTGAAAATAGTATTATTGGGGAAAATTTGATGCTATGAATATTAGAGTTTTTCACTATTCCTGTGAGGAGTTCTGGTGCATGGCATCTGATCTCGCTAATATAAAGTGGTATCCCACTTTCTTTTACCTATGATCTCCATCTTCATGTCCATATCTGGGAACCAAAGTTATTCTTCGGTATAAAGCAAGTACTTTCTTTGGTGCAGGATGGATCAATATTGGCATGGAAATTTAATGCGGCTGCAAATTGCTTTGAACCAGTAACATCACTCACAGGTCACTCACTTGCCGTTGTTTCTTTAGTAGTTGGAGCCAACAGGCTTTACTCTGGATCCATGGACCATTCTATAAAGGTAAGTTAATTGGAGTATTATACAAGTGTTCTCACAAGCACTAAATCATTCCACTGCATTAGGTTTTTTCACACTATTTTAAAATTTTTTTTTCCCCTATATTTCATATTGTGCATTCTTTCAGGTCTGGAGCCTTGAAACATTGCAATGTTTACAGACACTCACAGACCATAGTTCGGTTGTAATGTCTCTTCTTTGCTGGAATCAGTTTCTCTTATCATGTTCCTTAGACAAAACAATAAAGGCAGGTGTCACTTTTGCAGTATACGTATGTATGTTTATTGAAGTGATGATGCGGTATCATAAATGCATTCAGTACTGGTTACGTGCATATTCTGTTATTTGAGTTTCCTCCCCATTTGTGGCAGGTGTGGGTTGCTACACAGAATGGAAGCTTGGAAGTAACGTACACTCACAACGAAGAACATGTAAGCTGTTTTTGTTGTATGGTTATATCATTTTTCCCCTTTATGTTTTGGTGATTTTACCTATAATTACGTTGATAGGTTAGAAACAAGGTTTGTTGTTTAGATAAGCAAGACAGAACATCTAAGGTATGAATGTGAGCTAAAAAATAATATCATTAAAGGAAACAAACGGACGTTCTAGGTCATCCCTAGAGACACATGAAGGAGGCATTGAGCAGTTAGATAGAGATTTCAAGGAGGTGTAAATATCTTGTTCAATGATGATTCCTCGCTGTGCTCTTGCAGGGTGTGCTTGCTCTAGACGGTATGCCTGATTCAGAAGGCAAGCCAGTTTTGCTATGCGCTTGCAACGACAATTCTGTCCGCCTCTATGATTTGCCATCGTGAGTCTTCAACACGAGTGATTCTATATGTGCTGATTTTATTTTCCAACTTCAGATCCTACTGTACAAATTGCATGGCTTAAAAGCTGCCATTTGCCTAATTCTTACTTTCATTCTATCCTGTTGTCTCAGATTTGCTGAGAGGGGAAAAGTTTTCTCAAAACAGGAGGTACGGGCAATTCAGAGGGGTCCCGGTAGTCTGTTTTTCACCGGCGACGGAACAGGTCAATTGAGAATATGGAGCATGTTAGCCGATTCAGCTTCCTCTGCCTGATTTATGAAGGACATAGTGTATCTTGATTTATTATTCTTAATTATTCTCTTCTCCTTTTCCTAGGATCTTTTGTAACGCCTAAGGTTGCTGGAAGGAATAATATTTTTTTTCTTCCCTGGGTCAGGATTGAATTGTAGGTCTAGAGGTTTTGGGGGTTTTTTTTTTTGAAGAGGTAGAATTTTGTTCCACAAACTCCAGCCCGTTACTTGTGCCATATAGAGGAACATCTTGGTCTCATTCCGAAAGTTGTAACTTGAGAACAAATCTGCATAAAGTGCTTATTAATTATATCCTTACCGTTCGCTGCAGATGAATGATGTTTGCAGTGGAGTAAAAATGATTATAAATGCTATATTTAATAGAGAGCTAGTTGTTTTTGTACTGTGGATGTTGTATACCTTGTGCGACTGGTCTTGTAAAATTTTGCAGCAACTTCAAATCTTAAGCTTCTTTCTTTCTTTCTTTTTTTTTTTATTGGGTGGGGGGTTCTTTCATTCATGTGCAATTTTTTCCTTTTCGTTTTGAGATTCATATATATATATATATATATATATTATATTTACGTAAGATGAACAGAAACACCGAATTGTGATGTGATTTTATGTGAGTTTTTTACTATAACAAAAAAGTTAGATGTGACTGTTTTTTAGAGTTTTTTACTGTAATAAAATTTAAATTTTAAATTCAAATCAGTGAAATGAACAGGACTTAAAAGACTAGATTCTAACAGACATGTTACTAGGGAATATCTATGTGATTTTGTAGTTATTATGGTAATTGGTAAGCAAAACTACAGAAATATGAATACATTATGTTACATATATCTAGGTGGTGTCATTTGCATGACTTTGCCTACTTGTGCCATGTTCACAGCAACATATAACTTTCACGGTTCACCTAATAGTCAAAGGTCAAGCAAAGTGAAAGCTGTAAGATACGCTTTCCCATAACTGGAAAACAGAAACAAGATATTGAAGGTGAAATACAGTTATATTAATATGGACACTCAACCCAATTTAAATTTGATTAAGCTCAAACAAGGATTTTATTCTTAGATAAGATATTTGAGATCAGTCCACGGGAACCACTTGGAGCAATCGACATAACTTCTTCATTATTGATTCCCGTCCAAAGCCATTTCTCTAACAAAGCTTTCATAGTATCATAACCGAGTCCCAATCCGAACTGCATCCTTAACATCATATTTGTTTATTGTTTCTTTAACTATTATTACACATTTTTTTGTTTTTTTTTTTAGTTCAGGTTACAGATTAAACATGACCTTAATGGCCGTACCACCACGAGCACTAGTCTCAAATGCTTCTTCCACCTCTCGCTGAGAAAATCCGAACCGATGCGTTATAAGGGGATTCACATCAATCTTTCCACTCCTCAAGAACTCAAGGCATAGTGGCCATGTATTCTTGTACCGGAAAATGCCAATCACATCAACCTCCCTATTTACAACAATGAAGAACCAACAAACATAGCATTACACACATAAATCAATGAGTTGAATTGAAAAATCCACATCTTTACTGGAAAGTTAGTTTATACTAAGTTTCCATTTCCACACTGCTAACTCATTAATCTATCCTATAACTAAGTGAAGGGAACTTGTTAACCATGGTGAACTTCCTAATAGTCAATACAAGTTATAAGTATTCATATAATAATGCCATTGCTCTACAAGCTCATTGTTCTATGTTAGTGGAAATGGCTCTCAAGTTTATTACTTACTGCGGTAGCTTAGAATCTCATTCATACCTTGCAGCAGCTGGAGTGAGTGGGACAGTCATCTCACTGTGACCCATTCCCACAAGGCACACCTTGCCGCCAGGACGAGTAGCACTCAGGGCGGTTGACATAGTTTTGTTAAACCCTGCACAGTCGAAAGTAACATCCACTTCAGCCCCCATGACCTCATGTATCTGAACCACTTCTTCAGCTACATCCTGTAGAATAGAGAGAGTAATTAAAAAGAAAATGAAAAGAAGCCATTGTTTAAGTGATTAACCATTGCTAGCATAATAAGAGCTGAAGAAATGACACCTTGAAATGATGTTCATGGTGGATATACCTGTACATTTGTTGACACTTTGACAGTATCATTTGCCCCAAGATCCTTGGCAACGGATAAACGGTGGTCATCCACATCAACTATGACAATTCTGGGTGCCCCAAATGCACGAGCTGCTAGCATTGTGACAAGGCCAATAGGTCCTGCTCCCATGACCAAAACATTCGTTTCTGGACCAATGTTTGCTCGGCGACAAGCGTGGACACCAACGCTTAAAGGCTCACACATTGCCCCTTCCTCTAAGCTCACATTATCTGGCAGTTTGAAACATAGGTCTGCAGGATGCACCACCTATCCAAAGGACCAAAACAAAAAGTAAAATCTTATATCAGCTGTTATAACTGTCTTACAATTCAAGGATACTTTTCGCGTTGAAATCATACATAATATTTAGGCCTTTCTGCATAGCTAGGCAATGTGAAAGTCTATAATGCAGCCTTAAAATCCCAAGAAATGATGCCTAATCATAGAGTTAATCCGTTTTGTGACAGAGCACAATTTTGGTGGCGTCATTGATCAGTCACCAAATGCTGAAGAAAAAAAAGGTTAAATACCTGATCAGCAAGAGAACCATGAACGGGTGGAGTAGCAAAAAACTTCATCTCCGGGCAAAGATTGTATCGACCTTCTTTGCAGAGATTGCAGCGCCAGCAACTGATTCCAGGCTCCAGCGCCACGCGGTCACCGGGCACAAGGCTCTTCACCTCACTCCCAACTTCCTCTATGATTCCGGCACACTCGTGGCCTATCACCATTGGCTCTTTAACAATGAAATCTGCACATCTCATGGTCTAAAACATGCACAAAATCTCAGACAGATGATCAATACTGGATATCGGATAAAATGGCATCTAAGTAGTGGGTAATTAATAAATTTATTTTACACATAATCTTGCTTGTAAGCCAATCCAATTTGGCTAATAAAAATGTTCTACATAGATATTCATAATTTTGACAATTTCATTCTTTTTCCTACATCATTTTAAACACTCAGAATGTAAAAAGAAAATAGATAAAGGGTTTACCTTGAGGTAGTGAACATCGCTACCACATATGCCTACAGCTTTCATCCTTACTCTAACATCATGGGGTCCTAAAATATAGCCCAGAAAATGCAAAATATTAACACCAAGCTATTAATTTCAAAGATAGGCAAAAGGGTCAGTGATAAAAGTCACTGAAACAAAATACAGAACTTGTCATTTCAATAAAAAGGAAGTTACCAAGAGGAGGGAGTTTGAAAGGCTGAATCTTGAGGGAGTTGATACCAAGAAGCCAGGCAGCCATGTTCTCTTCTTCTTCACCATCTTTGCCTTCCCCAGCTCCTCCATGAGACATCCCTCCCTTCCCCATCTTCTGAATAATTCTGATTCTGATTCTGATTCTGGTGAGAGAAAGAAAGACTCTTTGAGTGGATTTGTTAAAGAGTTTGAAACTGTGTGGAGAGCGATATGGACGATGGACAAGTGGATTTTGTGGAACTGAATTTAAGGGGTATCCTGGTGTTGGATAAGCATCCTTTTTAATTAAAAAATATAATAATAATTTCTTTTTCAACTAATCCATAGTTATTATGCTACAATAATGTCACGGTCTAAATAAGCTAATGATATTTTTATTCCTCACCTTATACTAAAATCACATAAATTAAAAAAAATGATATTATTGTTATTATTATTTTTTGATAGTAGGCCAAGGGGGGGGTGAAGATCTGTTGTTGTCATCCAGAGTTTGCCAAAAATCACAATCAATCACCAATCTGCTGCGTCACTACCCGGTAGGACCTTAATTTCTTTTGTGGTCGTGTTGTGAATACACAATAAGTGCCACGTTTTCACGGGAAAAAAAAAAAAAAGAAGAAGAAGATGCTAGGTGGAAACCATAGAAAAGCTCTCTCGTTTTCTCAATATGTTGTCTTCTACATTTTTATTTTTTATTTTTTTTTATAAACAGTTGTCAATATGCTGTTGTTGTCTCAAGATCATGTTGTCGTTTTAAAAACATCATCTTGTTCTGCAATTGCACATCGTTGTAAAATTGATGTCGTTTTACTGGAGTATTCCTGTCTCCAACGGACGAGATCCTTTCTTCCATTTATTGTCGTGTTTTAGAGCTAACGTTGTAATACCTATTGTTGTCGTTTTTGGATTGATGTCGATTTTTATAGCCAATGTCCTAGTCGTTTTAATGCAATATTGTCGTTTCATCAGTATATGTCGTTTTTTGTCACTCTTAAGATGATCTAGTGTTTTGCATATTACTGTTTCCCTCCCTCTTAAACTCCCAGACTAGGTCACTTTCTCAGGATCTTATGGTTTCTAAAGTGAATCTTGGTTTAATTAGCTGCTGTCGTCTGGAAAGAATATGTCGTTTATTATATACTGGTGTCTGGTGATTTTAATTGTCAATGTCGTTTACTTGCAATGTTGCTGTTTTCTCACGATCTGGTCGTATGTCATAATTTTATGTCGTTTTAATATGATGCCGTCTTTCATATTTCATAGCTTTTAAAATGATGTCGGCTAATGTATATTGTCGTCATGTAATTATGTTGTCGTTCAGCTTATGTATATAGGAATTGTCTCTGAAAAGTACTCACCGGAACGAAAGTCGTATAATTATATATAGTGTATATTTACATATAAATCATGTATATTTACATAAAAAAATCGTGTATATTTAACATAAAATATAATAAATCAGTCAATATATATATTTTCATGTTATGTGTTCACTAATTACAATAAAAAATACATATTTTGAGGATTAATATACATTATCGTTTCTTATAACTTAACATACACGACTTTACATGTAAATATACACAATTTACATATAAATATACACAATTTATCTAAAATTATATAACTATCATTTTAATCAAATACTTTTTAAGTGCCTGATTAGATATTTTATCTATGTATATATATCGTCAATTGATTATGGCGTCATCTTTTAAGTCACGACCGTCAATTTCTTATGATATTGTGGTTTAAAAAAATAAAAAATAAAAAATAAAATAAAATATCGGGTCGTTTCTATAATCTCGTTTTGAAAGAAGATGTCCTTTTACGGCGTGTGTTTTTAATAGTCAATGTCATTTACCTGCAATAGTGTCGCTTTCACAATCCACGCGATTTAGTTGTATTTTAAAAATTTATGTCGTTTCCTTCATCTTGTTCGTTTTGAGTATGATGCCGTGTTAAGAATTTAATGTCGTTTTACTTTGATCTTGTCGTTGTATTTAGAAAAAAAGAAAAATTAGTTTCTTCCATGAGACGCTGTTCATCTTGCTCTCGGTGTGTGCATATGCACACGTACGTATAGATTTCCAATCATAAACCAAATTACTTACCAAAAAATTAACTTGGTTTTAAGTCGTGACCATGCTACTTTTACGATCATATATATTGCCGTAGATTATAAGACAGATCTTTATCCATATGTAGAGATTTCCACTATCATAAGCCCGTTAAAGAGATCTCTTTCTCCGGATGCCCAATTGCCACTGAACTGGCCTTTTTCTATCCGTTAAAGTTGCGTGTTTTGCTTTACATCGTACATTTCAAGTTAGCTAGGACGTCACTCCATGTTTAGATCGTTCTAATTTTATATCTTCACAGAAATTTTGTTTACACATAAGTCTTTTAAGCACGTTACATAAGAGTACGTTTGGTTGGATGATTCGTTCTCTGATTTGAATTATGATTCATGATTCGTTACAGTATTTTCTGTCACAAAAAATACACGTAAATAAAAAATAATTCTAATCTTATGATTCTAATGCATGAACCAAACAGACTCTCGGGGGTGGAATATAGCAAACAAGATATGTATTCCAGAAACGACAACCATATATAGTGGGGTCCAGAAAACGACATTTGGCGGGTAGGAGTCACAAGGTAATTGAACAAAACACCTTCCCAGGATAGGAAGAAAGCTCAGTTAGAGAGAGAGAGAGAGAGAGAGATGTCAAAGAAAGATGAAGGAGAGAACATGGCTGCTTGGCTTCTTGGTATCAAGACTCTTAAGATCCAACCATATCCTCTTCCACCTCTGGGTAACTCCTGTTTCTGTCCAAATTTTTTTTATTATGATCATAGTTCTTTCTTGATCATGCATGATCAGATGGATATATAATATTAATAACCTCTTACCTTGTGCTGATAAAACTCTAATATACCATAACTCTGGGCAAAAGTCGACTTTTTTTCCCGTCTCCAATTGATATGAGAGTAATCATATAGTTGATCACATATATTATGTTGGACTTACAGGATTGTGTCAATCATGACATTAGAATTCTTCACGGACTCGTGTACCTTTTTTTTTTTTTTTGAGAGGTAATTGTTCATTTCATCTTAACAAAGTTTTTCACAATTTTAGGACCTCATGATGTTAGGGTCCGGGTAAAAGCTCTGGGTATTTGTGGCAGTGATGTTCATCACTTCAAGGTGACAAGTCCCCTTAAAATTTCTCTCTTATTTTTTTTTTTTTTTTTTTTTTTTTTTTTTTTTTTTTTTTTTTTCTGAGTATTTTCTTGAATATTTGTTCTGCTTCAAATGCTACATACGAGTTTAAAAAAAGACAATGAGATGCGCAAATTTCATTGTCAAAAAGCCAATGGTTATAGGACATGAATGTGCTGGTGTGATTGAAGAAGTTGGCAGTGGGGTTAAGTCTCTACAAGTAGGTGATCGAGTTGCGTTGGAGCCCGGAATCAGTTGCCGCCAATGCGATCTTTGCAAAAGTGGTCGCTACAATCTTTGCCCCAAAATGAAGTTTTTTGGCTCTCCACCGACTAATGGTTCTCTTGCTAACAAGGTATTTTCAAATTAGTACTAGCTTCTGCTACTTGCTTGGCTCTACAAACTTTTTAAATTCATCCTGATTTCATGATGATTGTACAGGTGGTGCACCCGGCAGATCTATGTTACAAGTTACCTGAAAATGTAAGCTTGGAGGAAGGGGCAATGTGCGAACCCCTGAGCGTCGGCGTGCACGCTTGTCGCCGAGCAAATATAAGCCCGGAGACTAGAGTATTGATCATGGGAGCTGGACCTATAGGCCTTATTACTCTGCTGGCTGCTCGTGCCTTTGGATCCCCTAGAATCGTCATAGTCGACATTGATGATTGCCGATTGTCTATTGCGAAGAGCCTTGGTGCGGATGAGACTGTTTTAGTTTCGACAAACATCCAGGTTCTTGATCTTATTCTTTTTTTTTTTTGATCTCTGTGCAAACCTTTTGGACTTGAAAGTATTTGAGTTAAAATCTTGAACAGGATCTAAGTAAAGAGGTGGAGCTGATACAAAATGCAATGGGTTGTGGCGTTGATGTGAGTTTTGATTGTGTTGGTTTAAACAAAACCATGTCAACAGCTTTGAATGCCACTCGTTCAGGTGGGAAAGTTTGCCTCATTGGACTAGCTCAGAGTGAGACGACTGCCCCGTTAACCCCTACTGCTGCTAGGTAAGTGACCTTTTAACCGTCAAAAATATGGTAGGGACCTAAAATCGACATAATCTTGCTTTCCATTTTCGATGGTAGAGAATTCATGTAAGGGATAGGAAAATGCTCATCTTAGGATTTGGTTTGTTAGCCAACAAAAGATGTTATTAGATTCATGCCAGTGCTATTATAGTTACTAATTCTGGGGTTTGTGTGGTGATAGGGAGGTCGATGTGATTGGCATATTCCGGTATAGAAACACCTGGCCGCTCTGCCTAGAGTTGTTGAGAACCGGTAAGATTGATGTAAAACCACTGATAACCCACAGATTTGGATTCTCACAGAAGGAGGTCGAAGATGCTTTTGAAACTAGTGCTGGTGGAGGCAATGCCATCAAGGTTATGTTCAATCTGTAGCAGATCACCAGATGTATTTCAGAACAATTGGCTTGAGACTTTGGATATTAGTCACATTTATACAGCAAAAGGCCTGAGAAATTGATCAGCCGTTCTCACCAATTTCGGAGTCCGTTCAATTTTAATATGTGATAAGGTAAAATGAGAAACTCGTCAGAATTTTATCCTCTCTCAATGCATAAAAAACTTAAATTGCTGTAGTTTACCCAACAAGATGTTCTGCAACATTATTGTGTAAACTGGACATGAATTATGGTGCTATCTATACTTTTATGTACATCTTCCATTTTGTTCACCAACAAGCGGATCATTTGAGTTGTTTGATGTTAACCCATCGGCTTCAATGGAACTGTAACCAAAAGGCTTCTGCACATTGCTTTCACTCATCAGTTTTCTCATTTTCACAACATCGTCCCATCTATCTATACCGGCATAAGTGCTCGATGAAAGAACATAATTTCCGCTGTTGCAAGGATCCACTTCAAGAAGCTTGTGTGTGACAATCTCAGCTAGACCCACATTTCCATAAAGCTTACAAGCGTTCAACAATATCCGCCATACGACAACATCTGGAACGACAGGCATTTTCTGAATAAACTCGTACGCCTTCTCTAGATTTCCTGAACGGCTTAAGAGATCCACAACGCATCCATAGTGTTTCATTTCTGGTTTGAGTCCATAGACCTTTTCCATACTCTCAAAATATTCCAACCCTTCATCTACCATTCCGGTGTGAGCGCAAACTAGTAAAATCCCCACAAAAGCTCCATGGTTTGGCCGTATGCCTTCTCTTAACATTTGCGAGAAGAGGTCAAGTGCGGAATTTGCAAAACCATTCATGGCAAGTCCTGAAATTACTGAGGTCCAGGAGACAGAGTCCTTTGCTTTCATCTCTTGAAACACCTTTAATGCCTTCTCAGCCAACCCGCATTTGCAATACATGTCGATTAAAGTGTTTCCCACGCAAATATCAGCTTTCACACCATGGTTAATGATGAAGTCATGGACGGCCTCCCCAACATCCAGTGAACCCAAATGGGCACAAGCTGAAAGCACGCTAGCAACCGTTATCTCGTCTGGTTTCACTTTAGCCGCCATCATCTCTTGAAAAAGCTTCACTGCGTCGCTATGTTGGTTAGCTTGAGAGTAGCCAGTGATCATAGCAGTCCAAGACACCACATCTCTGTCGGGCATCTCATCAAAAAGTTTCCTCGCAACAACTAAATTCCCCAATTTCGCGTATCCCATAATCATGGCATTCCATGAGACGATATTTCTTTCTCGCATTCGATCAAACACTCCCCGTGCAAAATTCACCAAACCACGCCGTCCATACATATCAATTATGGTATTTCCCAGGTAGACATTAACTCCGATACTATTCTCCTCTATGTACTTAACTAAAGAGTCCGCAATCTCGTATTCGCCTAAATAACTGCACGCCAAAATAACTTTCATTATTGTCACGGAATCCGCTCTCACATTCACCACCTTCATTTCCCGAAACAGACCCAAAACCTCCTTAAATCTATTCCACTTTGTACACCCACAAATCAAGGAGTTCCAAGAAACCAAATCTCTCTCAGCCATTTCATCGAATAGTTTCCGCGCAAAACCCAAGACCCCACAACTGCCATACATATAAATCAAAGCATTCGCAACGAATAGATAGGTATCGAAACCAAGTTTCACAGAATGAACGTGAACCTTTTTCCCAATCAAAACATCGGAAACTCGAGCACAAGCCTTGAGAACAAAAATAAAAGTCAAATTGTCCCCAACGAATCCTTGGCGACACATACGACTATAAAAAACAATTGCTTCATTGGGATGGTCGCTCTGCGAGAGTCCACGGATCATGTGGTTCCAAAGGGGCAATGTGGGTCCCTCAATCTGGTCGAAAGCGAAACGGGCTTTGCTTAAGTTCGGTGGAGAAAGTGCGTAGGCTCTGATGATTTGAGAGATCGAAAATGGGTCGGTGTGGAGGTGTGATCTGATAAGGCGGGCGTGGAGTTCTTTAATGGAGTTGGTCGGCGTTGGTGTCTGCGTTTTTCGCGCCGGTGGTTGTTGGGTCGCCGCCGCCGATTTGCTCGTGAAGCGCCTTACGGGTCTTGCAAGTTTCATTTACTATAAAAAGCAGAACGCAAAAGTACTAAAAAACAATGGGGATTCGCATGAAGTTGAGTTAAGGAGAGATCGCTACTTCCCAAGTTGCAGGAGGAACACAGCAGATCTCTTGTTCTTTTCGGTCTTGCCAAGGTTGTTCTCACTTTGATACTTTCTTTCAGTCTCAGGTTGTACTTGCTTCCGTACATCTGACATAAGAAGAATTTATCCTTCAAAATGCATTAGACATTTATTTTTTATTTTTAGTAAATATTTTTTTGTTAGTGTAATTATTTAATTAAAAAAATTATAAATTAAGAATAACCGTGCTTACAAAATATTTGTCCAGATTGCTAAAAAAAATAAAGAAAAGGTTGATGGGCTCAATTTCAGATCCAGCTTATTTGGGCTATGACTTATGAGTCCACAGTCTTGTCATCATATATGGGCTGAAGTTGGGTTTTTGTGAGAGATAACTACACATTTCATATCTTGACAGTTAGCCAAAATTTTAAAATATTATAAAAATAATAAAAAATAAATTATAGTAGTTATCGTAGTAATTATCACATTTTATGCTGTATAGTTACGGTCACTATTTTAGTGAAATCAATTTTTTTTTAAAAATAAATAATTAAGGAAAAGAATAAATATCTTTTAGAGTGTGCGAGTCTCGATTTTCTCTTTATTCTTGATTTATATATTTTTGTGGTATTAATAGATAAAAATTTAAACTAGTAAATTAAACAATTTTCTCATTCCTTGAAACTTTTGCTTTATTTCTACTTTATTATTTTGATTTTTCTGTGTGTAAAGAGCCCGTTGTTCTGAGGCTTCAGTTTTGTTACCTGTAATATGGCACGTCAATTCTCAAAGTTAATTGGAATAATGATTTGTCATAATAATCATGAATCATAGGTTAATGGGAGGTTTCGTGTATTAATTATGTTTGTTATTGCTTATTGGTGACTATAGTTGGGAAGATAATTATTACCATGATGTCACTTTCAAGTTTTAGTGCTAAAATTGTGGCTGAAATCAAGAGATCGATAATGTCCGCTAAGACGGAGGCCACTAAGTTCTTCAAAATTCATGCATAAATCTATCCTATGTGCTTCCTATGATCACTCCATTAATTGCAATAGATTTTTTTTTGGGGAGTTTTTTTCCCCCCTAAGTTTTGCCTATTGGTTGCTGTTTAAGATATTATTAGTTAATTAATAATGGATGGTGACGCAACTTGAAATTAAATGGCAATACTATCGACGCAAATTGATAATTAAGTGGCAATACTATCGAAATGCAATACTTGATAATGGACACAAATGGGACGTCCGTATATTCCGTTTTTTCCTAATTGTCAAAAGAATCATATAGCAACATGCTTATCAATAAGAGTCCGATGAAAAAGTAGTAACCAATGCACAATTCTGATCCCAATTATTACCCACAAAAATTATCTTGATAGCAAAGTTTATTATCTTCTCTTCATGAAATATAAATGAAGAGATACATACATATCATAAAAATTCTCGTAGAATCGAGAATGAAATCATGAATTAGTAATTACATCCAATCTATATATATATATATATTAACTATAAAACTTTATATTAAAAAGTTCTTCAAAGCTCTCTTCCTAATTAAACACTAACGTGGGTAGTGTAAATGAATACACATATGAATAATACTAGAGAGATCGATTCAAACTTCAATTTTTATATACTTAACTGATGTGACATATAAATTATCATTTTTATATTGATAAACATTTAAAATATTGTCACGTCAATTAATAATATGCATCTACTAATAAAAAGATAACACCTCGTATGCTACATCACTTAATACACAATCGTTAGGATTTACTCGCAATCTCGCATCCTATGTATAGCTAGCTAGCTGGAGATAAAACCAGGCTTTGATTCGGCGAACAAATTGGTCCAGGTAATTAGAGGGCGGCTACGTATATATAGAAGATGCTCTTAGATACAATAAGCTTAATTTATTTTTATATTATTTATTTTTTCTGATAATACAATAGAAGAAGTACGGCCTAGGAGCTTACTTATATAGTTTAGACTGTTCATTTAAGATTATAGATAAACAAGATCTCGTTGCAACTAGCTAGCCAATGGGTGTTGACGATGCTTGTGCATAAATGATTATAATTACAATACTTCTTAATTAAGAGGGATTTGGTCCTAGGGTTAGGTTGCTATAATTAATTATTCGAATTAGGTGTGGCTTCATTATTAATTATTAATAATATACATGTTTATATGAATATATTATATGTAGCGTAGGCTTGCGAGGGAAAGATGATACCTCAGTTGTAGCTATTGTAACTCGTCAGTTGTGATCATGACTAGAATTAAACACTAAACAATGACGATAATGATAATAATAATTAGAAGAAGATTAGGGGACGTAAACAGAATTTTTCACATTGGCTAACAAGAGCAGTTACCAACCCCAAGCGAAAGGGAAAATGAAAAAAAAATGAGGTCGTGATTGGTGAGCGGTGTGTTTTCAAATATTGCATTTGAATATTAACAGGTGAAATCAGGGTATTTAAGGAAGAAATTAAGAATCATAATAAGTAGGATTACATCTTAAGCTTTCTAGTTAACAATGTCAAAGATGACAACATTAATAATTATATGAGGACAATCCAAGACAGTTATAATATAGATGATGATGTTGGCGATAAAAAAGAAAGAAATAATGTGTTTATCAAGTTACCCAATTGTTTTTTTTTGTTGAGAGTTTGGAAAATGACTTAAACGTTGTTTCTCACAAATATATCATCTCATCTCTAATCGTATTCACTCCCATGAATTTCACGTTGGAAAACAAATAGGATACCAAACTATTAAGTAATTATTCAGAGCAAGAACCAAAAAAAAAAAAAAAAAAAAAAATGTTAAAGTAATTAAGGTCACAGACGAATTACGTATATTAATGTTCATTTTGCGAAAAAAAAAATTATGTATATTAATGTCTTTGGACGTACGTGAATTAGTAAATAAGTATTTTTTGATTATACTTGTGTGTATTAAGACCTAAACCCCTCCTTGATTTATTTGGGTCATAACTTTTCTAGTTAGACATTTGTCCCAGTGTAATTGGCATATCCGTATACAATTTGGCTGATCGTGGAACAATTATGTGAAATTTTATGTGCCAGTACTATATTACTGTAGGAAGGTATTTAGAGGCGTTTGTTTCTTGTATTCGTTTATGATTTTGAATCATGATTTATAATTTTTTATAATATTTTTTTCTCTAAAAAAACACACATAAAATGAGAATGACTTTAAATTATGATTATAAATTCATAAACCAAACGTCTACTTAATCATAATGAAATTCTATTGGTCGACGATGAGCTGGGAAAAGCTAAGGGTAGTTGAAAACAAAGAATACTGAGTGCATCACTATATAACTACTGTTTGGAGAGAATACAAATTCTGACGATAGAAATGGATAGGATAATGCTATTCATGCATTAACAATATCGAAAGATAACTAATATATTTCAAACATGTTGTAACAATTAAACCAATTTCTATAAACGCCATTAATCTATATTCTGTATAAAAAAGAATTATTAGTATCATTATGTTCTCATCTCTTTAATCACTTTGAAAATCCGGAACCACTAATAAAACGGAAAAGGAGCTATTAATGTACTTCATGCACTCTTAATCTTAATTATCAACCAAAGCAAAATTTTTGTTTTTGGTTTGATGAGTGATTAGTGAATAAATTGTTCATCTTCACGCGTGCGCAAATCTTTCACGAAATAAATGATATACACAATATATTCTAGTACATTTTTCTTAAGTGGAGACGTAGGATTACAACATAAAGATTAGATAATGAATACAATTAGGAAAACAAAAAAGTTATTTTGGACTCGAATTTCTGGCGGCCTCCTTTTGTCACATCTCACCGTCCCTCGCTGGACCCACAAGACTTGGTCTGTGTGGTATTTTTCTTCCACCCCTTATTCTAATCCAACGAAACAGTCCTGATTTTCAACTTCCAAGCATCAATGATCACAACACTCCAAAATGGTAAGATAAAAAAAAAAAAAAAAAAAAAAAAAGTTCTTCATATCCCTTGGCTATGGACCAGGGAAAATGATAGTCATTAACCATCCAAAAATTGTCAAAACTTTGGTCCCAATTTTTCACTTACGCGTATGAGAATAGGTTAGATTGGTCCTATATACGCCATTTTAAACACGCCGGGTCTAAGTCCAAATTCCAAAGTCTCATATAACAAAATTAGAGAAGTCGTTCGTCCAATACTTAGGGGTGCATTTAGAGTAAGGGTCCGTATCATGGTTCAAATCATAATACGTGACTTAATATTGTAGTGTTTTTTCTCACAAAAGACACACGTAAATTGAGAATAATTCTAAATTCATGAATCAAACGTTCTCTTATTGATTGAAAATTTGTCTAAGAAGAATGCAGTAAAATATTCAGAGAAATACAAAAAAAAAAAAAAATGTCACTTAAAAAATATCATACTTACATTTATAACATTCGATTTTAACATTTATACCATTAAATTTTTTCTTCCTAACGAAGATGATCGGACATTTTTGAAGAGTCTTCTGAAAGAATCTACTAGAATATTTGTTTAAATCAACAAATATCACGTGAATGTAAATTTGTTGAATATTAATGAGCAATTTTCTTTAAAATATTATTAGTTAATTAATTTGAGGGTACGGGATAAGGTAGTTGATCAGTTGAGACGTTATATCCAAATTCCAAAGGTGGTGGGGGGGTGAAGTGGGGAAGATCACAATTTCTTCACGCAATTTCCCACTTTCCTCACACACGCACAAATTGCTATCCAACACCGCATATTTCGGCCACCACTATCTTTCCATTTCACTATTGCTCGCCCCATCATATAGGCAAAACCCCCGCCGGATAAGTCTCTTATGTTTACATTTTTATATTCCCAAATACCCCTAATAAAATATGGCTTTTAAAATCTTGTGATCTTGTTTTGATAAGAAAGAATTCTTGAATAAGGTGTTGAGAAATGTCACGTAAAATAATCGAACAATTTCAAATCGTTCCATCTGTATCATATTATTTAATTTTATTGTGATACCAACAAAGAGATAAATATTCCACCATGCAAAATTCTCAAGCAATGAATATGTATAAACAATGACGGGAAACAAATGATAGTATCAAGTATCAACGGCGCAAACAATTGGTTTTCAAGCTTTCAATAAAAAAAACAATAAAAAACTCAGCTACTTGTTAACTGCTTATTTGATTAATATTTGGTGGGTACGTCAGATTTTGCTGGATGTTCCTCATACAAAGAGTCTTCACCAAACAAAGCCTTCAAGCAGCAAGCAGCCTGGATGCAGCCTTTCTAACTAAGAGACAAGCACACGTGTCAAAAATACACCAATTTTATCTAACAACTAGAGGTGATTCTAATTCTTTCCAATTTCAATTAATTAGTTCCTTGGACTTGACCAAAAACCTAATTTGTCATTAAAAATCATCACCCCGGCGTCCTTTTAAGTAATTTGACCAATTAGTGGCTAGCTAGTAAGTTGATAGGAAGGTAATTTATTTAAACACTCAACACACAAAGATCAGTCAAGTCCACGTTCTTGAAAACCCAACCTCCTCCCAAAGCAAACGGCAAATAAACGACCTCTAATTCCATTCACGCTACACCACATACATATACATATAAATATATATATATATATATATATATAGCCACACCCAAATACACCTTCACTACATATTTACACATATATATACACAACTCCAATTCCTTGTGTTTCACCAAAACCCATATAATAGTAACATGGCTTCATCGTCCAAGAGCCGAAGTACTACTAGAACTTCTCGGTCGTCGTCTTCGTCGCCGGCGTCGACGGCGGAGGCGGCGTCGTGGTACTGCGCCGTCGTGCTGTTGGCGCTAATCCTGCTGGCTTCCGTGAGAGAGACGTCTCTCTCCGAGCTGGACGAGCCCTTTAGAGGAAACCGGCTGCTGGACCGGCCCTGCGACGAGATCTACATCGTCGGAGAAGGCGAGACTCTCCACACCATCAGCGACAAGTGCGGCGACCCGTTTATCGTCGAGCGGAACCCGCATATCCACGACCCGGATGACGTTTTCCCCGGTTTGGTCATCAAGATTACTCCTTCCAAGCGTTGATCCGAACTCTTCTTGATCATCATGATCATCATCCTCATCATAAATCTTCTTATATAGCTGCTTTGTATTTTGTATCATAATATACACACAGAAAGGTGATATTCTTGTCACTTTCTTTATTCCTCTCTCTCTCGCTTTCTCCTTTAATTTCTTTTTCATTTCAAAGAAATTTGTATGTAAGAAGAAGAGAGACAGAAACTGTGCTTTGTATGCCTGACTGGTCTTGGAAAAGAGAGGGTTCTTTCAAGTCCCCCAGTCCAAGAAATTGTATAAACACGATGAATTTTCTCAAAGAAAATCAGTAACTCTTTGAATTTTCCCCTTTTTTCTTAATTTGCACGTTGAGGATGTTTGTATATATATGTGTATATGACTTTTTATTAATATTTATAATTAGTACTACTTTCTGGGCTTAGTATTGAATATTCTTGATTTTATTAGTTCTCATGTTATTCAAGTTTAAATGAGCCTGTGTCTTAAACTGTTAATATCTTCTGATTATATTTCTAGTAATTTTATATTTAGACGACGTGCTAAAGAACTTTAAAGAAGCAGAAAGAACAAAATTGATGAATAAACCTATAAGTTGTGTAAGGTATGGCGGTTGGGAAGAAAAGCAATCATCAACTAACTGTTTCCATTGAAAAGTATATTCTACCCTGAGGTGATTGAAATTTGAGTATAATGTTTCTGGTAATTTGAGTAATGTACTTGTGTGTCTCTTTTTTTTTACTTTTCTTTTTCTTAAAAAATTATAACTTTAACTTATACATTACTTATCCTTATTGTAATTTGAGTAATGTACTTGTGTGTCTCTCTATCATGTTTTGTTGTGTGATGCAGGTACGTGGGAAGTAGGATTCTTTATGACAGAAATTCCTAGGGGAAGAAAGGAAAAACAACATAAGTTGTCTACTCATTCTCATGCATTTTCTCGAACATTTGTATTTTATATATCATTTGGAACCTGATAACATCAGGTAGTTCTATTACATTGTAAATTTCGCCAGAAAATATCTTCTTTTGAAACAATGATATCTCAACGAAACGACTTTGACTAAGAAAAAAAAAATTGAAAAAACGACGTTATCAATTATCTGTGAAAATCTTAAGAAACGACAGCACGACTGATCAAAACCAACAACCCCAAGAAACAATTAACAAATAACAACTATCATTTAATGAGAATGCATAACCTTATTTTAAAACAAGAGATAAAATCACTTTGATAACTTGTGTTTATATGAAAACATGCTTTTAATACCCTTTCTTTTTTAATAATATAAAAAAAGTACCTCAATGTTTTAGAAAACATTTTTTTTTTGATACTTTGATCTTGATTTTTGGGACATAGAATGTCCTTTTTGCCCGGTAAACGTTGGAAATCAACCAATCAACTTGGTAAACGACAATGTTCCTAAACGATAATATGTTGACTCTTGAAATAACACGAAGAATTTGGAGACCAAATATACAGAAAACAAAACAATTTTCTATGGATTCACTTTATTATGAATTTAATTATTATTTAGTGCACGTTTGGTTCATGGATTCAAAATAAGTCTCATTTTACGTGTGTGTTTTGTGAGAGAAAAACACTATACAGAATCATGAATCATAATTCAAAATCAGAGACGAATACAAGAAACAAATATCTCTTTAATTATTTTTTCTTTTCAATGACGGCTTACGTTTGTTGTATGCACGACCACAAAAAACCGAGGTACTGCCAGGTGGTGACGCAGGGGATGGTAATTGATTGTTATCTTTGGCAAATTCTGGATGACAAACAGCCGGATCATCACCGTAATATTTTTCAGACGACCGCACACCCTTAATAGCACTTCATGAAAAGCACAACTATTAATATTAAATGGCTTTAACCAAGATTCGTAGGTAGTTGAGCTACCCAGGCCACTTTGGTGGCTTTAACGACACTGGTGGAAGTTGAATTTTGTTTGTCCTACTTTGCCCTAAAAGAGGATTTAAATGCCTCCTTTTATTTTATTTTTATTTCATTTATAGAATAATGCCTCCTTTTATTTATTTATTTATTTTATAGGATAATGCCTCCCTTTATTATTATTTTTTTTTTTTGAGAATTAATGCCACCCTTTATTGCTTCACCGTGATTTTCCAGTACTATTTTAACTTCTTTAAGAAAACTTGCCAAAAGAAACGACAAATTCAAATTAGTAGTACTTAATTGATAATTCTATCATGAGCATTGAGAGGAACAAAATTATGGTTCCCCCCCCCCTTTGTAAGGAAAAACCTTTTTTTTTTTTTTTTTTATTAAAAAAGGGCACTTTTGAATTGTGAAAAAAAAATGATGATGTATATTGAATTACCTTTGCAGGATCTAGAGAATTGTGATATTTGGGGGATGAGCTCGCAAATAGCTAGATTAGTAGAGACGAGGTAATAATTCAAGATAATTTTCCTTCTAAGTAATAACCATTAACATTCTCAAAAAAAAAAAAAAAAACTATTAACTACACGGTTATTTGTTACCCTTAAAAGAAAAAAAAAAACCTACACAGTAATTTGTTTCCTAGTGCAATATTGTGAGCTTTTCGTCAATTATTCTCTCTTAATATGCATTTTTTTTTACAATATTTTTATTTGTATACGTTGGAAAATTTTGAATTAATAATTGGAAGGTAATTAAAATTGTAAATCAAATTTCTAAGACCATTAAGATGAATGTTGAAACGATTATGAGGCTGAAGAGTTGATTGCAGTGTATTTTTCGATTATGTGGGAATGAAATTGATTATTGAGATGTATGTTTGTGGTTTGTGATCTTACCAATATTATTTATTTATACCTGCCAGTACTATAGACTGTTTCTTGTTGAATTACACATGTCACATGTGGCTCAGAATTAGCTGTCCTTACTATATCTCTGCCTTGCTAGGCCTCAAAATGAAATGAATAAATAGACTCTGATAGAACTTGGAAAATCCGAGAAGCCAAATTCAAAAAAAAAAAAAAAAAAAGAAAAAAGAAAAAAGGTATATCAGCTGGTATATGCTATTTGTCACTCGGACACGTTAAGGAGAGCATCTCCTTTCAAAACAACTAGGTTTTCGTCCTTTTAGTATTCAAAATCAGTGGAGAATCTTATATATTTCTGAGAGAGCATTTTCAACTATAGTGTTTCTATTTAAAATCCGTTTAGTTCGCTGATTTGAGTTTTTAATTCGAGTTGAGATATGACTTTATGTGAGAGCTTTTTACTGTAGCAAAAAAGTTAGATGTAACTGTTTCTGAAAGCTTTTTACTATAGTAAAACTCGAATTTTAAACTCAAATCGATGAAATGGACGGGACCTTAGTGACCACATCCTGAAAATTACATGAAAAGCAGCTGTAGAAGTATATTCAAGGCATAAACGTTTCTAAATGCTTGCCATCTCTATCGCTCTTTTATTCCATTTTTCTCCACGAGCTGATCGAATTAGAAGCGCCTATAAAAAGGTTGGTGCCCGAGTTAGGAAAGATCAAACCAAGCAGCGGTGCGCAACTAAGCAAATCCAGCCATAGGGCGGCTCTCTTTGGCAAGCAAAACTAATCTGCAAGATTAGTTATGTAAATGACTTGCCAAGAGGAGTTGCCCTGTAGCTGTTTTGGCTTAAACCTTATTTTATAGCCCACTTCAGCATCTTGTAATTTCTGGTGAGGTAAATTACTAAGTCAAATTATATTTTCATACACTTCTGTTGCATTGTACAGTATATATAGTTCTAACATTGATTTATAAGCTTGAAAATAATTGCAGAAACTCCCATAAACGAGCAAAAGATCAGCGTGTTAATGATGCTTTTTATTCATTGGTAAAAGTTTTTGTCAAGACATTAGGCCAGTTATATATGCACCATAATTGCTAAGTTGGGGACTTAATGATGAGAAACTGGACCTGGCATGGAGAACATTGTTATATTCTTGAGATGGCAATTAACTAATAAGCAATTCTTCAAATTATCTATTTCATCACCTTTTTTTTTTTTTTTTTTTTTTGCTTAATATTCCATATGGACAACATACATTTGTCATACTGACGACTGACCTTATCACGTCAAGTTCTTTCCCATGAAAATTACACAGCAAGGTATATAGCAATTCCAAGCTTCAATACTTGCAATTTCCATCTGGAAATCGATATATGCTTTTTTAAAGGAGACTGGGCACGGTTATAGTAGAGTTTTCCTAATTCAAACAAGAAGTGTGCACTAACATTCTTAAGGATTAAATTAAGTCTTGTGTAGCAAGTAGGTAATTACGACAAATAATTTGGTACAAATAACTTTTATCTACAAGTCTTCAAGATCTCGTCAACGAATTATTTTACAGGTTCCTGTGATCATCCTCCACACAAAAACCTTAAAAAATGATCTGCATATGGTGGATTTTTCGGGGTCCAAAATAATATTGTAAGACAAGCACCCTCTAAGTTTGGCTCCATATGCAATCTATGTATGAAATAAATCCTTGTTTTTTTTTTTTTCGAATTAATATCTGCATTGTCAGTTTCTCTTTTGCGTCGGCTTAGACTTGGTACTAATCAAACTGGTTGTACGTTGGGATATAATTGTGTCTGTATTCTGGCGTAAGCTAAAGCTTGCCTAATGTTTGTTTAATAACATTAGGACCAATAAGAAAGTGCCATTAGATTACACCTCACTATTTTGTTTTCATTTGTACGTACTTATTCTTAATTATCCTTTTTTAGTATGTTATCGAAGTGTTCTCATTTGGAGACTCTCACCGAGACTCCGACTTGGTCGGAAGAAAATAGTTTAAAATTTGAACTCGTCTCACATAAAGTTAAATGTCATTTAGCTAATCAAACGACAAAGAAGAGGTCATAAATAGTTTATTAAGGAAGCAGACATACAAAAAAAAAAAGGTAATTAAGTAGTACTTTTGCTAATAATTGTTGGTCTTTGTTTATTATTAAATCATCGTCAAATACGGTTATGGTGCCTATTTTACTTGAAATATAAAAGTTTGCTCGTGCAAAGAATGAAAGAAACCTCTAGAAATATAAAAAAAAAAAAAAAAAAAAACATGGCGAGAGTCCATTATCTACTCCACCAGAATCAGCAAAATTGTCCTATGTTATCTACTCTACCAGAATCAGCAAAATTGTCCTGTGTTTTAAACTAAAGAAAAATCTCTGGCATGATTAATCTCATTGTATAAACATCTTAATTTGCACAATTTTCACATCTTGTTGATCAGGCTCAGTAATATTGTGAGACAATATTCTTTAGAATTAAGTGCACAAAATTGAACGGGGAAAGTTTCCATTT